GTTCGGGAGGTCGGTGCGCAGCACCCAGTCATAGCCGATGTTCCACAGGAGCGGCCCCAGAACCGAACCCTGTGGAACACCGCGCGACATCTCTCGCCGGTTCCACTCGCCCCGGTGACCGGGGTAGCTGACGGACCTGTCCGTCAGGTAAGCCTCGATTACACGACGGAGCCTCGATTACACGACGGTTACAACTACATTAGCTCTACACTAAATTTTAACCAAAATGATGGAATCGTAATATATACAAAACAATCTCTCCATTTTTCGATCGAAGAGCCAAAAAACCTGGAATTTAATTGTTTTATTATTAAAATAGGCTCTGAAATAGCAATCGTGTCAATATATAGATCTCCTTCCATCAGAAATTTAGATAAATTTAATAATTCATTAGATAGTATTCTTCAAAATTTGTCATCCTTTTCAACTGTCATCGTAATTGGCGACCTAAATATTAATATAAATTCTGATAACATTGACGCAGGTACTCAAGACTACCTAAACCTTTGTGCATATCATGGCATTTTACCTTCACACACATTTCCAACTCATCAAAGTGGGTCATGTTTGGATCACGTCATGCTAAAAACTAGACTTCCGTGTTTAACACTTGTTACTAACTCAACAATCACAGACCATTCCGCAATTTTGCTTACGCTTGAATTAAAGCGGACTCAACATTTTTCGCGTCCGCAGCAAAGATCGAAACTCAATATGACTAATCTGGGACGTGATTTATGCAATATTGACTTTAGTCCAGTTTTTGATTCTGCTGATGCTGACGAATCGATGGATTATGTTATTAAACATGTACAACAATCTATCTTAAATAATACTAACACAATAACCTTAAGTAAGAAAAATTGCACCATAAAACCGTGGATAACGGAGGGACTTGTCAGGTGTATACGACACCGCGATAGACTACATAGTAAAGCCAAACAAAATCCTAATAACTTAATTATCCAGACAACATATAAAAGATATCGTAATTTCTGCAATAACCTCTTAAAACGTATAAAAAATCAATATGACAAATCACAAATAGCTCAATCCGGAAACAACCCCAAACAACTGTGGAAATATATTAAGTCAGTCACATTCATGACGAAGCAAAATAATTGTGACACTGGTTTATTGCAGACGGATCAAACCCCGCTATCATCAGCTAACAACGTAAATAGTTTCTTTGCTAATATTGGTGTGAGGCTAGCGGAAAACATTCAAAGACAGTGTTATAATGACCCCAATACTACGATACCAACTCCTCGGTCATGTATTGGTAGTGGAAAGTCTTTTGTTTTGCTAGAACCGGACGAAAGTGAAGTAGAACGAATTATTATATCTTTAAAAAATAGTCCCGTGACAGGGTGGGATAATATCAGCACTAATATACTAAAAACCTTTAGGCACATACTAATACCGCCACTAACTCATATTTTTAAAATTTGCTTTTCTAGTGGTACATTTCCTAAATGCCTCAAGAAAGCAGTAGTAATCCCTATCCATAAATCTGGTCCAAAGGACTTGGTAAATAACTATCGGCCTATTTCTATGCCGTCAATCTCTAAAGTTCTTGAGAAAATTATAAATAATAGACTAGTCTCGTATCTTGAAAATAACTCCCTTATATCTAACAAGCAATTCGGCTTTAGAGCCAAATTGTCGACAGCTGATGCAGTACACACATTAACTGACTTTGTGTCAGGAGAGCTTGGACAAAGTAAGCAAGTAATGGGAATTTTCCTTGATTTAGCAAAAGCTTTTGATACGGTATCAATCCCATTGCTACTAGACAAACTGGAGGGATTGGGAATAAGAGGGACACAGTTGGAACTTTTTAGAGACTACTTGCGGGATAGACGGCAATGTGTAAAAATAGGCAACGTCATTAGTTCCGAATTGCCGCTACCGCTATATGGAATTCCACAAGGGAGCGTACTCGGAGGAACCCTATTTCTGGTGTACATAAATGACCTATGTAACCTCAAACTACAGTGTGGAACTATTGTATCATATGCAGATGACACTGCTCTACTGTTTTCAGCAGGTTCTCTTACAGAACTTCAAAGCTGTGCACAGCAAGGGTTTAATGTCGTCAATAATTGGCTTAAAATAAATCTACTAACAATAAATACTGATAAGACAAAATTTATAAAATTTAATATGCGTAAACCACTAACTCGTAATGAATTTCACGTGTATGCGCATAAACCAGAATGCTCAATCGTGACTAACGCTTGTACCTGTCCGGAAATTGTAATAACAGATAACATTAGGTATTTAGGAATTATTCTAGATGAAACCCTTTCCTTTAAACAACATATCGCTGCTTTAACATCTAGAGTTCGGAAACTGATATTTGTTTTTAAAAAATTGCGGTTTATTGGTGATCACAAGCTAATTATTCAAATTTATAAAGCCCTGTGTCAATCGATAATCCAATACTGCATTACTTCTTGGGGTGGAAGTGGAAAAACATTGATACTTCCAATCGAACGAGCCCAAAGAGCCATCTTGAAAGTCGCCACGCGCAGACCGTACCGCTACCCCACAGGCTTACTGTATGAGTCTAGTAAAGTGCTGACAGTGCGACAATTATTCATACTATTTACTGTACTAAAACAGCATGCTACACTTACATATGACGCTAACCTCACTAACACCAAGAGACGGAAAGATATTGTCTGTACTGCTAGTTATGAATCAAAGTACGTATTTACACATAGATTTTTTGCATTTTTAGGGCCATATCTGTACAATAAAATTAATAAAGAAACTTTAGTTTACGATCTAAATTACACCAGAGCAAAACAGCGCATTTCTCAATATCTACTATCATTAAGTTATGATAAAAGCGAGGATTTGTTAATTGTCATTAAATAAATTATATATAAGTAGGTATAAATAGATAATAATTATTTTTAATGCAAGTATAAAGTGGTGTTTCCTGACCGGTGTGTGTATAATTGTATACATACATAGGATTTGTAATATTTGTAATATTGGTGACTGTGAAAAGTAATATTGTTAAAGCTTAGTTATATTATCCTAATGTATAATGCACGCGACCACAAAGCCTGTGGTACAGATTTAATTCTATACAGGCATAGTATTGTAACCTACCTAGAATAGTTAAATAATAAGCTTAGATTAAGTATATGTGAACAAAATGGAAATAAATATATTTGTTTGTTTGTTTGTTTGTTTGTTTGTTTGTTTGGTGTTGTCAAAATGTAAATCCAAGATGGCGTCTGCACAAAATTTTGAATATATCGTCATGGGTGTCGTTCTCATGGTTTTCGAGGGTGATAAAACCGATGGTGTTGTCAAAATGTAAATCCAAGATGGCGTCTGCACAAAATTTTGAATGTATCGTCATGGGGGTCGTTTTCATGGTTTTCGAGGGTGATAAAGCCGATGGTGTTGTCAAAATGTAAATCCAAGATGGCGTCTGCACAAAATTTTGAATTTATTGTCATGAGTATCGTCTTCATGGTTTTCGAGGGTGGTAACAAAGATGGTGCTGTCAAAATGCAAATCCAAGATGGCGGCTGCACGATATTTTCAATTTATCGTTATAGGTGTCGTTTTCATGGTTCTCGAGGGTGGTGAAAATGATGGTGTTGTCAAATTGTAAATCAGAGATGATGACTGAACGAAATAGAGTTAGTGCATTTATCGAGAAAGATTAAGTATGTGTGTGAATGTGTGTGTGTGTGTGATAGAGAGACAGAAAGAATACGTGCAACCTATTTTATAGATTTTCTATGAAAATTGAGTATGTTCATATAATATTAGTTTTTATATAATAAAAACGGTGGCCTAGACCTGAGGTTCACAGGCTCTTAGGTTAATGCTTTTGGATGCAGAAACCTGACGCAGTCACTTCATAGAGTTTAGTTTGTCATCCATCACTTAATATCTTTTTAATCTCTATTATTAATAGAGAGGCTGTCATCTTTGATCGATTATGCCAGCATAACTGTCATTTGATCTAAGTTTAAGGAATTATTTTGTAAAAATTGCAATACAGTATTAAATAAATGTGTATAATGTTATTTTACTATTTCCAAAAAATATTATTTTAAGCCTAAATTTTAAAATAATGTTGCAACCTTGCTTGGAACTGTGTGGCCACTGAAAATATTAGTTTTGACAACAGTTAATTTCAGGTTCGAAAACTAGATGTAGTTGACGGTCCGATTTTTTAAGCTGTCAATGGCTCTAAGTGTGACGGCCCTGGTTTAGTTTCATGCCAATGGATCTCTGGCATAATTTTTTTTTATTATCATGATATACATTAAGGTATGCAAAGAGGCTGAACACTAATATTATTAATCACTGAACCTTTTTGATTGAAATTCAGTTCAACAAGAGTTTGAGACACTGGAAAGAAGGTATGATTGTTCTATTTATTTACACTTTTTAATAGACCATAAAAACAGCAAAAAATAAAAATCATAAAATGTGTACAATCTGGCGGTCTTATCGCAGAATGCGATTCCTTACAGACAACCTTTGGATGGAGCTAGTAATCAGAAGTTGCAAAAAAAGAAATTCTATCCCTGAAATCTCACTGGACAGGAACTGCGTTAAACTACTGGGTCTCTCTATCTTTTAACCAATTGAACTTATTGAAGTGGAATTCGATACGACGATTGTTTGAGACTTGGAAAATGACGCCTAAGAGTTTTCAACCGCTTTTACCTATTTGAAACCTCACGGCAATGGAATCGATTCTGATGAGATTCGTTACACAGCATTAGAATTAACTGTGGAAAAGACTAATTAAAAATGTAAAATTTGCCAGAAGTCATTTTTATACGCGGACGAAGTCGCGGGGAACAGTCATGTATACACCGAATGTCTAAAGTCTAAATGAACACGAGTGACTGTAATTGAAAAAATATTGTGACTAGATAATTTCTGTCGTAGTCTAAACGTATGTACCTTTAGTCTGGAGAAAGCTTTTAAAAATTAAGTAATAAAGCGGGCACCTCTTTAGCGTCCATGACCGTCCCGACTCCTACAGTGAGTGCCTGGCGCGGCACTTTGCTGATGTCATTGCCGAAGAAACGTTTGTTGGCCTCGAGTGTGTCGTAGGCCAGCGTCTTGACGCGCGTGCGCGACACGAGCGAGGAGCCCGGCTCGTTGAACGCGATGTGTCCGTCCGGCCCGATACCTGCACATAACGCCCCGCTGTCATACTGTGCCACGTGTTGGTGCAGTCAGTGGCCGCGAGCCGTACCTCCAATGAAGAGATGCACTCCGCCGGCGGCCGCGATGAGGTCCTCGAAACGCTTGCACTCTGCCACGAGGTCGGGCGCGTTCCCGTCCAACACGTGCGCGTTGCTGGGCTCAATGTCCACGTGCTTGAAGAACTCGTTCCACATGTAGTAGTGATACGACTCCGGGTGGTCGCGTGGCAGACCTGCCACAAAAGACATTGTACTAGTAGGACCAAGTAGGACAATTAGATTTTAGTTCGAATAGCTTGTATGTATGACCATAACAAAGTTGACAGAATGGTTAGTTGTGACAGTGTAATACTAACCGACGTATTCGTCCATGTTGAAGGTGGTCACATACTTGAAGGAGATGCGCCCCTCCTTGTAGAAGTCGATGAGACGGCGGTACATGCCGAGCGGGGTGCCTCCGGTGGGCAGCCCCAGCACGAAGTGTCGGCCGGGGCCGGGCGCGAACTGTGTGATGCGCTGCAGCACAAACCGCGCCGCCCAGTCCGCCACCACGCTGGCGTCCTCCAATATTATCAAACGCATGGTTCTGTAGCGCTATAGCCGCTGCACTACTTCGCCAGTCGTACGACTCTATAACACAATCAACTACCACTTTTCATTTGATATAAAGAGAACAGCATGATCGGATTGCCTAGTTTCAAATATAACAGAACAACCTAAATGTAAAAATAAACAGCAACAATAGGAACCTCAGGTGATCGATACTAAAAATCAGCCTGTATCCGTGGTCCCTGGTCAGAATTCAAGTCTTGCTAAAGACACAAGATGTCTACCTCGTGTGTTCATAAGTTTTGAGACAAACTTTTTGCTTATAAAAATAAAATAAAAATTACTGGCTGCTGTATATTTCTTTTTCTAATTTTGAATTTGGAATGTTAACTTTTAATATCTATGATTTCGGATTATTTTATTTAAATTTTCTCGTAATGGAGGGAACAAAAGAATTACGTGCGACCGTCATTTCATTATTTAAGGTGGGAAGAAAACCTATGGACATTTTCCGAGAACTGAAAAGTTTTGGTGTGAGCCGTAATTTCGTGTATTACACTATCTCTAGCCAAACGCCAAACGTGTCAAAATTTACGTCAATTCCATATAATTTGGTTTTCTATTCTACATGTAGACAAGCGCTAAATGGCATTTGGCTAGCACTGCTGGAGACAAGTTCTTTACATGATCGGCAAAGAAGTGGTCGTCCACGCTCTGTGAGGACGCCTGCGAACATTAAAATCATCCGAGAGCGACTTCGCCGAAATCCATGTCGCACTCAGAAGAAACTCGCTCTGCAGACCAATATTTCGCGCGTTTCAGTCAACAGAATACTGAAATATGATCTCAAGGTTAAGGCGTATAGCCGTAGAAAAGTACACTTTTTAAACGATCGCCTTCGTCAATTGCGACGCGAACGTTGTCCAATACTGCTTAGGAGACACGATGCGAGGAAGATACTCTTCACCGACGAGAAAATCTTTACCGTCGAAGAAAAGTTCAATCGACAAAACAATAAAGTGTATGCCAAAAGTAGCAAGGATGTCCCACCTTCAGCACGGAATGTCTCGCGTACTCATCATCCGGCTAGTGTCATGGTATGGTGGGGAGTTTCGTACGAAGGTGTCACTCAGCTTCATTTCTGCCAACAAGGCGTCAAGGTGAAAGCCAAAAATTATCAAAGTGACATTCTAGAGACTGTTGTGAAACCCCTGTCTAATACCCTACTATTCCATAACAAGTATTGGGTTTTCCAGCAAGACTCGGCGCCATCCCATAAGGCTAAAACCACCCAAGCTTGGCTGAAGGAAAATGTGCCGGCCTTTATTGCGGCGAACGAATGGCCCTCATCCAGCCCCGACCTCAACCCGCTGGATTATTCTCTATGGACCGAATTAGAGCTCAGAGCCTGCCGAAAGTCCCACCCAAACTTGGAGTCACATAAGCGAGCTCTTGTCCGAGAAGCGAAGCGAATTCCTCTGGAAAAGATTCGTGCCGCCATTGATGACTGGCCAAATCGTCTAAGGGCATGTATTAAAAACAGGGGTGGTCATTTTGAATAATAATTATATTTAATTTTTACTTACTATCTACTTAATGTTTGTTATTGTTTTTATAAATATAAGTTTATTATTTAAAAAGATATGCAACTTTTAATTTGTCTCAAAACTTATGAACACACGAGGTATGATATCTGTGGGCATAATATGCCACGATAGCTAGAGTTAATCCCGTCAGGGACCTAGGAATAACATTCGACTCCAAATTGTTATTCGATGCACACATTTCTAACGCAATTGATAAGGCAAATAAAGCGTTGGGGTTTGTTTTAAGGGTGTCTAAAGATTTTAAGAACATCAAAACAATAAAAATATTATATTGTTCTTACGTTCGCAGTCACCTTGAATACGCTTCCCAAGTATGGAACCCCAACATGATACCTACATAAATCGTATAGAAAACGTCCAGAAGAAGTTCCTAAGGTATATTCAACATCATACTGGTAAGTACAATGGCTGAAATAATCAGGCAAATAGCCTGCTTATTTCAGCCGCTGCCGAAGGTTTCACTTGCTTCCACTGCAGGAGCGAAGGAAAATAGCGGACATTCCTTTCTACGTATCCGTGCTAGTGCTAGTGAACAAAGTTGGCTTGCGCGTACCTTCTGCATTGTTGAGAAGGCATAATCTTCTCCATACTCCTGCTACTCTGAGCATTTATCGGCAGAATTCATTTATGGGCTTGTCACACGCTGAATGCAGTTTGTAGGGAGATTGACATAGATCTCTTTAACATCAGTGGGACGAAATTAAAGAGGGTGATGTGTAACCACTTTTTCACACATCGTAACTAGTCGGTTGGATCGGTTCTGGTTTGCCTGTGCTTCCTTGGTTAACAGCATATAAAAAAACTTTTGTTTGTTGTTTTTTTTTTATCTTGGTTCATATTGTCATCGATGTAGTTGTTCCCGCTTTTTATTATTATTTTTCTTTCCTTGTATTGCTTGCGTGCACATATTGTGTACATATTGAGTGGAAAAAATGTGAGTGGCTGAAGGTTGTAATTTACTAACTACTGTCGGCAGGCCACGATATTTTTTTTTTAAAATACTTAGCAAATATATGCGAAAACTTGTAATTGGCCATACTTTAATCATAGTTATATATGTATAATTGTCAATTCTAGCTGTAAGTTTTCTAAATGTAAAAATAAATAAAATAAATTTAAATGTTGTTTTTTAAATGTTTTTTTTATATATATATAATCAAATATTTAAAAATGTAAAAATCAAGTAAAGAAATAAATAAAGGAAATAATAAAATAAAAATCATATTTGTACTTTATTTCAGTTTGTTAGTACATACATATTTACGTTTGTTATCTCAGTTCGTCGTCATTGTCTGTCAGTACAAAAACCTAATCTACGTCTGTAGGACAAGACGTTCAACTTGTAATTCCACATTGTGGATGTGGACTGTAGTGGAAAAAGAACATGTAAATATAGTGGTGGATTCCAAGTCAATGTCATACGAGCTAGCGACACAGTATCTACCTATACAAGAAACTTACTGGACATTACAGACAGGATATCGCTGCACTACGGATAGGTACAAACATGTACATGTATACAATCTCTGTTTTTAATTAATCTGTCAAACTGTTTACCGCACGATATCAACTTTAATGTTTCGCTATAAAGTTGACAATGTATTGAAGCTGGACAGATTTAATAAGACTTTGACTGGGATCTTTGACATCTGTTGAGTGCACTGCTGCCCCGTTTCTCACAACAATCCGCAACTGCAGAGTGCGTTGATAACAAGGCGTTGCGAGTATCATTGAACTGTCAGTAGGTACGAAGCTCGCGCAGCCGCGCTCTAGCCATCGACTCATCGAGTACCTACTGTTTACGATTGCTGTACAAACAAACAAAGTGGTGATGATAAGGTGCCGTCGACCTAAATATCAATGAAAACAACAATCTGCCCAGTATAGATATATTATACGTAATAAGTAGGTAATAATATGTACAGATAGTCTATACTAATATTAAAGAGGAAAGATTTGTATTTTTGTATGTTTGTAATGAATAAACTCAAAAACTACTGAACCGATTGCAATAATTTTTTCATCATTCGAAAGCTGCATTATTCAGAAGTAACATAGGCTATATAATATCACGCTAGGTCCTATAGTTGTGGAGCAGTAACCAAAAATGTTTTAAAAACGGGGGAAAAGTATCGTTTCTGAGGCCTTCCGTGGCGTGCGCTGAGCATATAAGTAGTTAAAGTTATACAAAAATGTTCTATAGATGAATTGTTTATCTTAACATTATTTTTAAAAAAGTCCGCGAGAGCATGTCTACCTTTTATAGTTTACCCATAACAATCGTTTTAATGAATGGTTCAATCCTTATAAAAGTTTGCTCTAGATAACTTTTGAATTGTTCAATCGGTTACCTTAAGACGCGACATCGACAACGGAGGGCAGGTCGCTAAAAAAAAAACTGAGAATAAATATAAATAAAACGTAAAACTATGTAAAAAATCTTAAGTCCCCCCGTGCGAAGCCGGGACGGGCCGCTAGTATATTATATAGGCAAGTGTCCGAGCGAGTGGTGACGTTATTTCGAGCAGTCGTAGCTCGTACAGGTCCTGTACCGACGTAGCGACGAACTACAGGACATTGGAATGCCACCCTCACTTATATGATTGAGCTGGTCAAGGCACAGGTAACTTGCATTCAAAATATTCTTCATACATACCCAGTTAATAGGTAATTTGCTGAAGTTTTCCTTAACGACTACCACTTCTGTTTGTATTCTTCGTATGCGTAGGTATACGAGGATGTTTGAACCTTGAATTAATAAAAAATAAAAAGAATGAACTAAAATGATCTAATAAGCTTGTTCTCAACTACGAAAACTAAATACTTAATTTATTATAGGTACGCAAGTACGTGTTTAGTTCATATGATGACGTTTTCTGGGTAGCGTGTAGCAGGATTGCAGGAACTAGGTACGTGGTGACCGGCGACCGGTCCTAGCTTCAAGTTATTTCAAAGTATTATTACTAAGTAGATTTTGTAGACAATACCTATACGTAATTTCTTGTGCCGTAATATTATGTAGTGCATTATATGTAGGTACTAACATTGGTAAGATGCCCGATATTAGGTATTAAAATTTAGCCTATGCGAAAAGTCAACAACCTGAATGTCCGGCGGTCACTTACCTCTGGCGCGTGAAGGTCACTGAGGGCGGCGCGCGGTGCCGGCGTGCCAATCCCCTATACTTATTATACTCTTTGCCAGTGTCGGCCACTGTGCGAGCCCAGCCAGCAGTCTGTCGGCTCACAATAACAAAACACGGCCGCTTTGTTTAGAACGCCACTTGCGACTGATTGCGACTGATAACAGACTGACTGGGGACTGGCCGGCGCGACACTGACGTCTGTCTGACACTGCACGCTCGGACCTACGACGTCAATGTCAAAGTACTTTACGTGACAGCTGACAATGACACTCGACGACTCGATGACGGAGAACACTCCGCTGAAAATCTATATTAAATGACATTCAAAGAAACATGATTTTAATAAACTGCGTCAAATAAACCTCAATTTTCTAAACTCGGTTTATATACTGAAACCTGTTCCTAAGTGTTACAATATTTTTTCTAAAAACTGCAAAAAATCGGTTCAGCCAATCGCGAGATAATCGCGGATACATAATACAGATCACCTTTTTTTCGGGAAGTAGGTTAAAAATAATGTATTTTGGGAGAATAAAATATAAAAGACTAATTCCAATAAATGTGTTTTATTTCTAATACAATAATACTTATTATCAGGAGATTATAAATATAAGAGGAGGCTGTCCCTCCGGCCGTGTACTAACTAGATTTTACATTTTACAAAACATAAGCACATTCCCGTGTTTCGTTGACGCCACTCGCCACGGGACCATACTGGATATACGAAACAAGTGGAAGTGCGAAGAATATTTCAACATCCCAGCTGATAATAAACAAGTATGTTAATGTTACTTTGATGCAAAGTATCAACTGCTACCTTTTGACCGCCATTTCATAAATCAAAGACGTCTTCAGCGCCGAACTAAGAATTAATTCATAAAGAGTTTTATAGAATTTTTGTCATCATTTGTGTAAAGACGAAATATATAAGTCAGTTAATATAAATAAGAATGTGTCAAGGAACATTTTATTAACCAAAGAAACAAAAAAGTAAAGATTTATATACGTTTTTTATTTAGTCTATCATGTTAAAAGGTTAAGGGTAATTAATGGGTATTAAAGTGTCGGTGAATTTCGACATCTAATAAAATTTTAATGACTGCCAAACAACAACTACAACAACAACAACTCTCCCCTATTCTTGATCGACCTTATAAACATGAGTTTTTAAGGTCGTCATGCCTACTGTAAATGTAGTGTTGTATTCATGTTTACAACTTTTATAAGTGCAGTGAGGTTAGGTTAGGGGTACGGGTTTTCCTTATACCGTGTGCCGCGTGAAAAGAGGTATTTACTCGGCAACTCTGCCGCGCTCGCACTAATAGACTTATAGGAAATATATCAAGGTCTAAAAGGTAAGTTAAAACATTGTAATCTACAGGCATGCCCAATTTGGAGTTTGAACTTAGGATCAGAAGCAATGAGCAGTTAATTTAAAACACGGACATGATGACATTTTCAGCTATTTACAGTAGCAGGCCGTCCAGGACGCGACGTGCAAACTTCTACTTGCTCCTTATACCGTGTGACGTCATACCCTCGCGCGGCGTATCATTTGACGCTCCATTACTTAAAGTAAAATAATCCAAGATAATATTTAGAGAGTACAACTTTGACACAACCTTATCCTACTTTTTGTCATAAATTGTAACATATTTATTTATTAGAATATATAACACTATGCTACCTATGTATGTATTAATATATAAAAATACCTTTGTAACATAAACATTCAAGTTTTCTAAGGAATGGTACCTTCATAATCGTAATGTATAACTGTACAATGTGTTGGAGTGAAGCAAGATATACAATGAATCAGTTTCCCTGTGTGAAGCGTAGGAAGACTCAATGTGCTACCGGTACCGGCAGTAGCACTGGAGACACAAGTTAACGCACCTAACTAAAATATAATAATATTGCTTTATTGTTTTACGTTTAACGAGATCGAAACGCTTTGATTGGCTGCACCAGTGCACCAACCAACCAGAGGGCTAGACGCAGTAACGTTTCGATCTTGTTAAACGTAAAACAAACTCGTACTAAGGCCCTCTGGTAATCGGTTCAATCATCACCTAGAATAAAGTAAGAGTCGCACCACTGCGCTATATAACATAATATCATTCAATTTCAGTCGAGTCGGTCGCCTCGGAACAGTGAACAGCGAGGCAATGCAGTAAATATAACGTGTCGCACAGTAAACAATAGTCCAGCCGGCGCGTCGGCGGTAACAACACTAATCAAAAGGAACTTTCACAACAAAAGACACCGCGTATTGGTGCGGCGCGGGCAGGGCGAGGTCACCCCCCACCCAGTACTAGTGCGGTGCGGGCAGGGCGAGGTCACTCCCCCACCCAGTACTAGTGCGGCGCGGGCAGGGCGAGGTCACTCCCCCACCCAGTACTAGTGCGGCGCGGGCAGGGCGAGGTCACTCCCCCACCCAGTACTATTGCGGCGCGGGCAGGGCAAGGTCACTCCCCCACCCAGTGCTAGTACGGCGCGGGCAGGGTGAGGTCAGTCCCCCAGCCAGTACTAGTGCGGCGCTGGCAGGGCGAGGTCGGGGCGCGCGCGCTTGCTGGGCGGCTCGCCGTCGCCCGACCAGTACGCGTACTCCGGCAGCCACTTCAGTAGCTGCGCGTCGAAGAACTCCTCCAGCCGCTTGGCGTCCTTGTAGATACTGCTGTCGGCCTGCGGGCAGAGGGGCGCTGTACTAGCGGGCGGGGAGGGCGCTGTACTAACGGGCGGGGAGGGGCGCTGTACTAGCGGGGGGCGCTGAACTGGTGAGCGGGGAGGGGCGCTGTACTGGCGGGCGGGGAGGGGCGCTGAACTGGTGGGCGGGGAGGGGCGCTGTACTGGCGGGCGGGGAGGGCGCTGTACTGGCGGGCGGGAGGGGCGCTGTACTGGCGGGGGGGGGGGGCGCTGTACTGGCGGGCGGGGAGGGGCGCTGTACTGGCGGGCGGGGAGGGGCGCTGTACTGGCGGGCGGGGAGGGGCGCTGTACTGGCGGGCACTGACCGTGTTGTAGCGGTAGACGTTGCGGAAGAGCTGGCGCACGTCGGCCACGTAGTGCGCCAGCTGGGTGTACCGCTGCGGGCTGCGCGGCTGCAGGCGGCCGCGGATGGCGTCCAGGCAGCTGCCGCCGGGCCCGTGCGGCTCGCGCAGCGCCAGGCTGGGCTCGTACTGGCAGTACAGCTCCAGCGTCAGGCGCTCCATGAGGCGCCGCTCGCGCTCGGCCTCGCCGGGCGCCAGCTCCGCGAAGTTGACGCAGAGCAGGCACTGCCAGGTCTCCGTCTCGCTGCAAGCAGGCCGGTCAGAGCGCGCTCGGAGCCCGGCGGGGCTCCGGCGCGGGATACTCACTCGGGCAGCTTGTCGATGGTGGGGATGTGGCAGTACTGGTGGAACACCTTGGGGCACTTGTCGCAGCACATGAGCTCGCCGCCGTCCATGCAGACGGCGCACCAGTCCTCGTTGGGGTCGCCGGGCGCGGGCTTGGGCTCGTCCGTGGACGAGTGCACGTGGGGCGCGGGCGAGGGCGCGGGCTCGCCCGCCTCGGCCACGACCTGCACCCCGTTGGAGTCCAGCTTGGCGATGGTGGCCATGAGGTCCTGCACGGACGCCGCGCACACCTTGTCCAGCTCGCCGCCCTGCACAAGGCGCGCACTACTGTCTCTGTCCGCCACGGCCGGCGACTTAACATATTCACTATACAATTTGATGTAGACAGGTGTATGATGGGAGAGTAGAATGCATGTCTGACGTCTCTCACTCTTCCCGCGGGAGTCGTAAGAACCGAATAAGAGACTAGATAATACACATGCTAGCTAGAGACTAGGCAGCAGCGTCGTCTGATCAACCTGAACCTTCTGAGCCGTAGCCGCCAACGCGTGTGCAAGCGAGGTCACCGTATCATAGCTCGAGTGACCGTATCGTACTCACGTTGAGGCTGGGGCTGGGCGTCTTGGGGTTGGTGGAGGTGACGGCGGGCGGGGCGCGCGCGCGGCCCAGCGTGATCTTGTAGTCGGCCGCGCCGTCCTGCGGGATGTGCCACTTGGGCGCCGCCGCGGGGTAGGCGGGCGGCGCGGGCGGTGCGGGCGCGGGCGACGGCGTGCGCGGCCCGCCGCTGCGCCGCCCGCCCGCCGCCGCGCCGGGGCCCGCGCCCGCGCCGTAGCCCGCCACGGAGTACGCGCCCATGACTGTGGGTGAAATAATGCCGCGCTCTATGAGAACCGAAGGGACCTGTCGAGCGACCGTATCGTCGAAGGTCGTGCTAGTTTATCGTAAAATAAGTATGATAGTAGTACTGACTCTGCTGATAGGTGTGCATGGCGAACTGCGCATGCGCGGGGTGCTGGGCGTGCTGGGCGTGCGGCGCGTGCTGGGCGTGCGGCGCGTGCTGCGCGTGCTGCAGCATGGCGTGCTGCGGCTGGCGCGCGCTGCGGCCAGTCTGCGCGTTAAGCAGGCCTCGCAGGTTCATTTCGTTCATGCCTGCACAGAGGGCTGGTTAGTGCAGGCCCGGCGCGTCACTCAGACGGCGCGTCACGCAGACGGCGCGTCACTCAGACGGCGCGTCACGCAGACGGCGCGTCACTCAGACGGCGCGTCACGCAGACGGCGCGTCACTCAGACGGCGCGTCACGCAGACGGCGCGTCACTCAGACGGCGCGTCACGCAGACGGCGCGTCACTCAGACGGCGCGTCACGCAGACGGCGCGTCACGCAGACGGCGCGACATACGCACCGTGCAGATGGTGCGGGTGCGTGGTGGACGTGACGTGCGGGTGTCGCAGCGGCGTGCTGCGCGCGCGCAGCCCGTGCTGCTGCAGCGGCAGGAAGCCGCCGCCGGGGCCCGCGCCGGGGCCCACGCCGGGGCCCGCGCCGGGTCCCACGCCGCCGGGGCCCGCGCCGCCGCCCTGCACGTACGACTGACCAGAACACATTATACACCTGCACTCTGCTACACTGACACGTTACAAACACATACATTTCATGCGCACGATAATATGCTGACATAACAAGCAGATACAGTGTAATTACATTCCGTATGTACTGGTTCACTTCTTATTCTGCGAACGACGTTACACGCTTTTACTCCGATATACAGGACTCAAAACATAATCTTAGCTTTTAGATATATTTGTCGACATTTTAAAATAAATAACTATCCTAATCCCACATACACACATTCATGAGAATCGCGACGCGAATTATGAAGCGAATAACGAACACTATTATGTTTACTGAGTTCCTAGAGTGAGTTTGTTTTACGTTACAAGCTATTGACACGTTTATGACGTTCGGCATTCTGATTGGCTGCTCCAACTTAACCAACCAATCAGAGGGCTATACTCGCTAACGTAAAACAACTCGGACTAGGCACTCAGTACCTGTTCGTTCGCTATTCACTTTAGAAATTGCGCGTTAACGCTAGAAGCGGTTTTTCGTACGCGAATCAAAGGGTACAAGTAATAATAAATCACCCGCAAATATATAGATCGCTGAATGTTTACTCAACACATTATTGTAAATGCGGTTTGAGACGAATTTCACAGCCTGTGTTCGTTCACAATTCGCTATACGCGAATTTTATCGGTGAGTGATCTCAGGGAATTTCATAAATGCATAATATCTCCTTTAGAATTAATTGTTGAGTTGGTTTGGAGTCATGACGGAGCTGCATGCACTACTTGATGCGATACATGAACGAGACACTACTGGATGCGACAACATCGAACGACGACTGACCTGGTAGCGAGCCAACGTCTGAGACATGGAACAACACGCACCGTACATGTAGTACACCGTACACACACTCGACTCGGAGGGACACGACTCGTACCTGGTGCATGGCCACGTGCTGCAGCGCCACGACGGCCGAGTGCGCGGCGGGCGGGTGGTAGGGGCCGTGCGCCGGGGGCGCGGCGGGCGGCGCGGGCGGCGCGGGCGGTGCGGGCGCGGCGGGCGCGCCGTCCAGCTTGCCGTCGACGACGATGGCGCCGAGCGAGGCCAGCACCTTGCACAGCTCGGGCAGCTTGTCGAGCGCGAGCGCGATGCGCACGGGTATCTCGGGGTTGGGGATGTCGGCGCGGCGGCTCTTGATGCGCTGCAGATGCGCGGTGATGGCGCGCTTGGCGTGCAGCACGGCGGTGTCGGAGCCGGCGGCGACGGAGTGGCCGACGAAGGCGACGCAGTGGTCGGTGATGGCGGCCAGTTGCTCGAGCGCGTCCTTCTTCTCGCTGAGCGTGCGCTGCTTGGCGTCGCAGACCTCGTTGAGGCGCAGCACGAGCTGCTTGCCGCGCGTGTTGATGGCGTTGGTCAGTCTGCGCGGGGCGGGGACAGTTATGCCACGGTATAAAATACATACAGTACGACGACGTCTTTGATCTCGTGTAAAATGCCGAATTGCCGACATCGTCTAGACAGTAACGCATCGGCCAGGGTTGTCAAAAATATGACCTTATGGCACCGACTAGACGTCGGTCAGTGGGTGAGTAGGTGAGTACTAATATGGTTATTTTTTTGCTTTTTAACTTTTATTTGTTTTTAGTTTTTTTGAGACGTTGCATTTTGAAACTCAGTTTTAATTGTTTTATTTTATAATTTTTAGTGTAAAGCTACATAGACCCGCCATCTTGAATTTGCATTTTGACAACACCATCGGTTTTACCACCCTCGAAAACCATGAGAACGACACACATAACGATAAATTGTAAATTTCATGCATCAGCAAACATACATAATAAAGAAACAATCATTCGAACATAGTGCCTCCTCCTTTTTGGGAAGTCGGTAAAAACAAACACGCGTTAGCCCTGAATTATATATATATATAGCTGGTAACACCGTTATGTTCGCAGCTCGGGACCGGCCTGCCCGACTGCCCTGTCTAGACGTCTTCGTTGGACAACTGTAGCTGTAGCCGAATGCCATTTAGCGCTTGTCTACATGTAGAATAGAAAACCAAATTAAATGGAATTGACGTAAATTTTGACACTTGTCAGTGTCATCCCAATACATTTAGTTTTCTACTGTCTCTGTAGACAAGCGCTAAAGTGGCGTTTGGCTAAAAGCACTGTATAGACTGTGGTTATACATAGCGTTCGTGTACACTCATTTTGTATGGAAAACAAATACAGGCCCGACGAAAATCAGATGACAAAAGAAAGACATACAAAATTGCAGGTGTACAGCATGGCAAATATGTTTTCACAGTAAACTGATCACACTCTGTTAAAAATAACATTTAGATAATAATGTGTAAATAACGTATAAATGGAATAAGTTTTAGTAAAACTGGTAAGATATTTCTTACACAAATACATTGATCGTATTGAAAATATCCAGAAGAAATTCATCAAGTATCTGTGCTATCACCAGGGTGTCCCATACCGGTCTGAAGATTACTACAGTCTCTGTAAGAAATATCACATCTTACCGCTTAAGGACCGCCGAGCAATAAGCGATTGCACCCTAATAATTAAAATCTTAACAAATAATATTGACAGTTCCGATATTCTAGCGAGATTGTTTCTCAATGTTCCTGGAAGGTCGAGGAGATGGTTTCCACCGCTACGTGCTCCATCCTCCTCTACCAATTATAGGCAAAACTCGTATTTTGTGCGTGCAATTAAGGAATTTAACAGCGTGTGCAAGCAGCATGATCTTGACCTTTTTAATATTAAAGTATCTACGGTCAGGAGGTGCCTGAGCCTTTCTTTTTTTTATTAAGTAACATAATCCCTATTATTGATACGCGGTTGAACTAATATTATGCGAGGTAATCTGTCTGTATAGTGTTCAGATGTTTATTGGTATAGATTAGTAATTTAGTACTTTGTTTCTTTTTATTTTGTTATTATTTTGTTACTATTTGTTTTTATTATTACAATAATTTTGTAGGGATTACTGTGTCGACCACATTCTTTTATAGCATAAGTTTGTTTTTTATATGTGAAGACTTGTCATTGGCTGTCAGACTCTCACACAATGTCATAATTTTTGTTTTGTTAGCTGTTAGTCTTCCAAAGTTGTTAAATAAATAAATCATCTTGGACAACATAACTGGCGACCAATCCAACACGTTCGCATTGAGACATGAGCTTTTAGTGAATGTATTTGAAGTGCACTGACTTGACGACGGTCTGCGTGATCTCGTGCACCAGCGCCTTCTTCTTGTCGGCGATGAGTTGCTGGCGGTCGCGGATGACCTTCATGGCGGAGCCCAGCAACACGCGCTTGTAGCTGACCTCCGACAGCAGCGCCGAGATCTGCGCGCGCGCCTGCAACAACCGCGCTGTAGGGTCGGCTGGCCGGGCGGGCCGGGCGGGCCGGGCGGCCGGGCGGCCGGGCGGGCCGGGCGGGCCGTGCCTACCTGCGCCGCCATCTCGGTGCTGAACTGGTACTTGTGGTCGCGGTGGTGCTGCAGCTGGCAGTCGCGGCACGTGAGGCGGTCGCACGTCTCGCAGAACAGCGTCAGGCGCTCCTGCACGTGCTCGCTGCAGAACATGTCCTGCTCGCTGCGCGCGCCGCCCGCCGCCGCCTGCAGCTCGGCCAGCGCCTCGTCCCGCGACTTGATGGTGTGCTCCTTGGTGATCTTCAGCCTGCAAGCAAGCGGGCGTGAGTAGCGCAGCCGCGCGGCGCGCTGGGGCCTACTTCTGGCGCGCCGAGGCCTTGTCTGGCGCGCCGGGGCCTTGTCTGGCGCGCCGGGGCCTTGTCTGGCGCGCCGGGGCCTTGTCTGGAGCGTCGGGGCCTAGGCTGGCGCGGCGGGGCCTACCTCTGGCGCGGCGGGGCCTACCTCTGGCGCGGCGGGGCCTACCTCTGGTGCGCGTGCACGCAGTTGTCACAGATGAACTCGTTGCAGTCGACGCAGTAGCTGGTGGCGGGCTCGGTGTCCTCGCAGCTGTTGCACTGCTGCTCGCCGCCCGCGCCTGCAACAGTAAGTAATCAAACAAATAACACAAATAATTTCAATCTTTGTAACTAACTTACATTCTATTATCTAAATGAAATTAATATTCTTTTTTTAGTTTATCATATAAATTAAACTAGACGACATTGCTTATCTGAAAAGAAACACTGAATTTGAATTATTATAGTGTTAGTCAAGAAATATTAACATTTCTTTATTTATTCATATTTCGAGGCGCTGTACAGAATTTGTGATAATTATTTTTAATTTATATGGATTATTAGATCTTAAAAAATAGTCCTGTAACAGGGTGGGATAATATCAGCACTTATATACTAAAATCCAGAAAGACCGACATGAGATGAGACTGCAGTATTCAGTTGACATATCTGAATACGGCAAACTCAATAGGCGAATTTCAAAATCCATGCGAGCATAATATAACGCCGCGCGAGTCAGTGATGCCATCGAGCAAAATTAGGGCTCAAAATTATTCGTCTATTGGGCAAATGACGAAAGTGAAGACCGAGAATGGTAGCAGGGTTTCGTCGAAGTCAGAGATTCCGAGAGAGCACGAAGGGTTCTACGGACAGTTATACACTTCGACACGGCAACGCATTGCCGGTACACCAGCAACATGATGATGAACTTATCTATACGTATGGTTTGTTCCTAATGTTAGTATTTTCAGCAAAATAATATTGTTAAGGCTTAGTAATAATATCGTAATAGTGTAATGCACGCCACCGTAACGCCTGTGGTACAAATTAAATTCTATACAGGCATACTATTGTAAACTACCTAGGATAGTTAAATAAAATTTAGATTCAATATACGTGTAAACAAAGTGCGTGACACTTCATTTAGTTTGTATAGTTTGGATTTGCCGTGTAATAACTTTGAGGTATTTTTGATCTGTGAAATAGCTAATCTGTGGAGTAAACTGTCATATTGAATGACTGTGAAAAATATGAAAAGTAAAATGGTTAATTGTTATGTACAAGTAAGATTTTTAACGTAATTAGAATAATTGATAAGAACTGGTGAAACAATAGCTCTAAATGTTGTTTCTCTCTTCAGGTAAAATTAGTGCATAGTTATTATTAAAGAATGTTTTGTAAAAGTTTTAAAACTAGATTTTGTATATAGGTAATAAAATAAAATTGTCTCTTTTCAGAGCAACTAACTTTGGTTATAGTTTTACTGTTCATCATCATATCCAAGGACAATATAATAAATAATATCATATTATATACATTATGAAACTACATGGAAATGAATATATTTTTTTGTTTGTTATTTAATTTAAAAGCACAAATACGCAATTTTCTTTAGTCATATGTGGAAGATCATCAGCTGACACTTCCCTTTTTCCTCCTACCGTACACCCAACCAATACTAAAATTGCCACAGCACAATGTAAACTTTTTTTGTGATTGCTATAACTACGCGTTCAAGTGTGAGAGAGCCATGCTTCCTTCCACGGCCGAGCAGAAAACTGACGTGAAACAACGCTAGCGTCGTGTAAGTGGTGGTGAGGTCACCGGAGGCCCAATTACCCCCCCCCCTCCCTTCCCAATATCCCTAATCCTTGAATCCCCAAACCGCTGGTAATGCACTTGCAACGCCTCTGATGTTACAGGTATCCATAGGCGGCGCCCATTGCTTACCATCAGGTGTTCTGTCTGCTCGTTTACCAGGTTGTCACATAAAAAAATATAATACTCACCATTAGAGCCGGCTTGCTCCAGTGCCATTTTCTCAAGTACGAAGCGTTGGTCGATCATGTTGGCCACCTGACATTGCAGGCGACACGCGGGACACGTAATAGTCACCCGCTCTGCTCCTAGACATAGCGTTTGTAATTTATTGTAAATATAATTATAACAACGGTCCAGCTATAATCAGGAAAATGCTGATCAATCAAGGCCGTATCTTTATAAATTGGACATCATGTCAAAGTCAAAGTCAAAATCATTTATTTCAATTAGACCAGGAAGGCACTTTTGAACGTCAAAACAAAATATTTAAAAATGTATATTTGGGTACACACAATGGAGCAATAAAAAGCCGTTTTTTACAATAAAAAACATATAATTAAAATAGAGTGTTAACAGTGGAGCGGACGCTGAGAGAATGAATGGCTACCCTTCTAGCAACTTTAACATGCTCCGCGACGCCTGATTGTTAAACTGGCCATCATACATGTAGTTGTGGGTTGCTATTGGAAAGGCGCTAGACACCGCAACAAAAATATTAAATAATAAGAAAAAATGTCAGTCTGTAGGTCAGTCCTCTAGTGAAGCTATTTGCTCGTTCCAAAGTGTAGATTTCTATGGAGAAGAACGAGCAAGAAACTCCATAGGTTACTCTTTTTCAATCATGTTCACAATACAATTTTTGGTTACATTCTTTCGTTGAGCTCAATTGTGTGAGAACATTCATCATCATCATCAACAGCCTATAAATGCCCACTGCTGAGCAAAGCCTCTTCTCACACGGAGAAGGTTAGAGCATTAATCACCACGCTTGCTCAATGCGGGTTGGCGATTTCAAACTTATAATTAGAAATTATAAGTCCAGGTTTCCTCACGATGTTTTTCCTTCATCGTTTGTCAGTGGTGTCTAAATAATCTTAGAAAGTACATATAACTCGGAAAAAGTCACATTGGTACTTGCCGTTGGTAGGTTTCGAACCCGCACCCTCATGCATGAGAAGTGGGCGTCTTAAACCTTCGGGCCACCACGACACGAGAACATTGTAATACCAATATTTGGTCAAGGAGACGGAAAAAGAAAATAACCTTGAGGACAATCAATTTAATACAGTCTGGAGCTGACCAGTCCCATTTGACAGTGCCCGTTCGCGAACATGACACGTACACCAGCACCGCCCAACTCAACCATGTTGTAGGGAATCGAGCGATCCACTGCCCGTGCCACTGCCAATGAGACTTTTGAGTGAGCATGACAACTCCAAGCTGACTGACACACATGCATTCTACTAGTCTAATTTAATTTAGTTACTTACAGGGATCTCACATTTATAATAATTATATAAAGTTTGACAGTGTGTATTTGAACAAAATGGCTGTACATAGTTGGAACTCATTGGAACATCAATGTTTTTCGCTATCCTGTGGAGCCCGAGCAGCCTACCTCCAAGCATTTTTTATCCTCTATGTAATCATTAAGTTTGTAGTATGCTGTTCCACATAACTTTTTTTTTAATATATAATTTAAATTTTGACTCATTTAAGTGTTGTTCCTCCGGAATTTTATTATAGCATTTAATACAGAATCCCATAGAGGACTTATGTACTTTTGTCAATCTAAATAGTGGCTGACTTAATCTATCCTTATGTCTAGTTTGATAGTGGTGTCTGTCAGACACTTTACCAAACAACTGTAGGTTTTTCCTAACATACATAATGTTTTCTATACTAATATTATAAAGAGGAAAGATTTGTATTTTTGTATGTTTGTAATGAATAAACTCAAAAACTACTGAACCGATTGCAATAATTTTTTCACCATTCGAAAGCTGCATTATTCAGAAGTAACATAGGCTATATAATATCACGCTAGGTCCTATAGTTGTGGAGCAGTAACCAAAAATGTTTTAAAAACGGGGGAAAAGTATCGTTTCTGAGGCCTTCCGTGGCGTGCGCTGAGCATATAGTTAAAGTTACACAAAAATGTTCTATAGATGAATTGTTTATCTTAACATTATTTTTAAGAAAGTTCGCGAGAGCATATGTCTACCTTTTATAGTTTACCCATAACAATCGTTTTAATGAATGGTTCAATCCTTATAAAAGTTTGCTCTAGATAACTTTTGAATTGTTCAATCGGTTACCTTAAGACGCGACATCGACAACGGAGGGCAGGTCGCTAAAAAAAACTGAGAATAAATATAAATAAAACGTAAAACTATGTAAAAAATCTTAAGTCCCCCCGTGCGAAGCCGGGACGGGCCGCTAGTCATAAATAAATTGACATGAAACGGTCATAATAACTTAATTAATTATTAATTAATCTCCTTAAACTTTTCTCACAGAGATTCGCGACGACCTAGGTTGTTGATAGCTCTGACGGCGCGCTTTTGTAAGATAAAGATAGACTCAATGTCAGCAGCGTGTCCCCACAGCAAAATGCCATACGACATGATGCTATGGAAGTAACTGAAGTAAACTAGTTTTGCCGTGTCTATGTCGGTTAACTGTCGGATCTTCCAGACAGCATAAGCTGCAGAGCTTAATCGCCCGCTAAAGATGTAATATGAGAACCCCATTGCGATTTGTCATCTACAGTAATTCCCAGGAATGTAGTCTCCTTTACAAATCCTAATTTCCGACTATTTAATAATTTGTCATATTAGTTACTTCTAACATTTGGCAAAACAAATCTAATACATTTCGTTTTCTTATCGTTCATGCCCCGTAAGAGACTTTACAATAATGACCAGATGTTTTAACTGTCAACAGTTTGGTCATGTAGACAAGTTTTGCCGCGAAACAAGCCCTACGTGCAACCACTGTGGGGAGATGGAACATTCTTTTAAACTTGAAGAACGTAACGACAAATCTTTCCCTTCCCAATGTGCAACGGCAAGCGGTTCAAGCGGAAGTGTGACCATCCAACTGGTGATGTGAACTGCCCGGCACGCAAATATGCAGAAGACAGTTATATTCATACAATAGACTATGAAGGCGCCTAAGAGCGCCACCTATTCAACCATACCTTAACTTCTATTTTTATCTTTACTTAATTACATCTTAACGATATGACTAATAATCTCATAAGCGATATTGATAATTTTTCCGTATCTGAATCCATCGTCTGTAATGTTGAAAACTCCAAAAATTGTATTCCTACTGGGGATAAGTTACTAACTTTCCTAACTCAGAATATTCGTAGTATAAGTCGAATTGTAATGGGTTTGAAGTACTATTACAGAACCTTGATATAAGCCGTGATGTCATTGTACTTACAGAATGTTGGTTATCTAAATAAACAGATAATTTGCCAATGCTGAATGGTTATACTTTGTATAAAACTGCCACAAATATCAATCAAAATGATGGTCTGATTGTATTTGTTAAAAATACCCTTAAAGTATCAGTGGACGAACACTTATTTCAAGGCTGTAATAGTCTATTAATTAAAATTAATCTAGATACAATAGGTTTGGCTGTACCTCGTGTGTTCATAAGTTTTGAGACAAACTTTTTGCTTATAAAAATAAAATAAAAATTTCTTTTTCTTATTTTGAATTTGGAATGTTAACTTTTAATATCTATGATTTCGGATTATTTTATTTAAATTTTCTCGTAATGGAGGGAACACAAGAATAACGTGCGACCGTCATTTCATTATTTAAGGTGGGAAGAAAACCTATGGACATTTTCCGAGAACTGAAAAGTTTTGGTGTGAGCCGTAACTTCGTGTATTACATTATTAAACGATACCAGGAGACAAGTTCTTTACATGATCGGCAAAGAAGTGGTCGTCCACGCTCTGTGAGGACGCCTGCGAACATTAAAATCATCCGAGAGCGACTTCGCCGAAATCCATGTCGCACTCAGAAGAAACTCGCTCTGCAGACCAATATTTCGCGCGTTTCAGTCAACAGAATACTGAAATATGATCTCAAGGTTAAGGCGTATAGCCGTAGAAAAGTACACTTTTTAAACGATCGCCTTCGTCAATTGCGACGCGAACGTTGTCCAATACTGCTTAGGAGACACGATGCGAGGAAGATACTCTTCACCGACGAGAAAATCTTTACCGTCGAAGAAAAGTTCAATCGACAAAACAATAAAGTGTATGCCAAAAGTAGCAAGGATGTCCCACCTTCAGCACGGAATGTCTCGCGTACTCATCATCCGGCTAGTGTCATGGTATGGTGGGGAGTTTCGTACGAAGGTGTCACTCAGCTTCATTTCTGCCAACAAGGCGTCAAGGTGAAAGCCAAAAATTATCAAAGTGACATTCTAGAGACTGTTGTGAAACCCCTGTCTAATACCCTATTCCATAACAAGTATTGGGTTTTCCAGCAAGACTCGGCGCCATCCCATAAGGCTAAAACCACCCAAGCTTGGCTGAAGGAAAATGTCCAGCCTTCATTGCGGCGAACGAATGGCCCTCCTCCAGCCCCGACCTCAACCCGCTGGATTATTCTCTATGGACCGAATTAGAGCTCAGAGCCTGCCGAAAGTCCCACCCAAACTTGGAGTCACTTAAGCGAACTCTTGTCCGAGAAGCAAAGCGAGTTCCTCTGGAAAAGATTCGTGCCGCCATTGATGACTGGCCAAATCGTCTAAGGGCATGTATTAAAAACAGGGGTGGTCATTTTGAATAATAATTATATTTAATTTTTACTTACTATCTACTTAATGTTTGTTATTGTTTTTATAAATATAAGTTTATTATTTAAAAAGATATGCAACTTTTAATTTGTCTCAAAACTTATGAACACACGAGGTACATTATGGATGCTGAACATAGGCTATATTTAATAAAACAGAAAAAAGAGAACCGTGTGAATATTTAGATAATGTAACCCGAAGTGTGAAAATACTACCAAAAAGCTCCTTATGTTGTTTAAGCTGCCAATAAAAAAATGTTTTTAAGGACTAATAATAGTATTTAGGTGCATCATAATCAGATATTTTAAAGAAAAAATACGAATTCAATTAACTTAATACATTTTATTCATGGACTAGCTTCTATCCACGGTTCCGCTCGCCCTCTTTTAAAGTATTGAGGGCTTACAAAAGATAAAAAAAGAATTGGTACCCGATGTTTTCCTGGTGACAAATATGATAGTAATTTTAGGTTTATTGAAAATTACGAAATGCTCCATACAAACTTCCAGCCTCTGTTTTAGGGAAGTGGTGGGTTAGAAAAAAACAAAATGTCGCCTATGCTACTTTCAATGCTTTCTACTATCCCAACTCAGTAAAAAAAATCACGTCAATTTCTAACAAAACAAACAGTCGTGAACAAATTTATTATATTAAGTATACCTTTCTATGTTATCTTGACATATTTTGACAAGTGAGTTTCATGCCAATGGATTATTGATGTTTTTAATGTAAAGAGGCTGAATACTAATTTGTTAACCATTAAATCTATTTACTAGTACTATAAAATCTGAGAGATCAGTAATGGGGATGATGACAGGGTATGAAAATTAAAAATATAATTAGTCCGTAAGTTAGGTAATGAAAAAATATTAGACACGTATTTTTTTATTTTGTCGTATAATAAAACAATACTTAGATAAAACGAATCAAAGTTTAGGAGTGGGGGCTAAAACGTCATTTCTTAGTATAAAATGTACTGAGAAGTGACGTCACGCGACATTTCAAATCAATATATCTTCGAAACTATTCGTTTCTGTGAGAAAAGAAAAAATACGTGTCTAATGTTTTTAAATAATCTATCAGACGGACATTAAAATAAAAATTAGTCGTCTACCCTAAATGTGTTCTATGTTCTTATTAATTATTTTTTATTTACAACGCCATCATTGGGGCAGCACGTTAGAATACATTCTTACCTAAGAAATCTCTTGAACTGGCTTGCTTCTCTTCTAGCTTGGCTCTGATACACGGTTCACAGGCCGAGTGCAGGCACTCCATGAGCTTGGGCGTGCCTTCCGCGAGAGTGAGCACCGTGTGGCACAGCACGCAGCGCGTGTCGGCGGGCGGCGCGCGCGACGCGCCGGGCGACGCCAGCGAGTCCGCCGCCCCGGCCTTGCTGGCCTCGCCCACCTCGCCCAGCGCGCCCGCGTCGCCGGCCTCTGCGGCATCGGGGCAGCCGGAGGCGGCGACGCCGCCACCAGCGAGCCCGCCATCAGGTGTGCTACTCACCTATTAATGTCATATTACAATTATTATTTCAAGTTTCAGTTACAACTGCAGCTTTTAAGTACTTTTAACATCTATCCAAAATTTTCAACATTATTAGTAGTAAGTGTTATCAAAGCACCAAAAGGTATTTTGTGCCTTTATAGACCTAGAAAAGGCTTATGACAGAGTGGTGAGGGATGAATTGTGGTCAACTCTGTCCATGTATGGGGTGGATAGCCACCTGATTCGGGCACTTAAATCCTTATATAAGGACTCGAGTGCCTGTGTCAGAATAAATGGGGACTACACGGAGTGGTTTGACATTAATCGAGGTGTTAGGCAAGGCTGTGTAGCATCTCCTTGGCTGTTCAACCTATTTATGGACAGTTGTTTGAACGACCTGAAAGTAGGAGAGCCTGGATTAAGGATGAATGACACAGTGATTAAAACATTGTTGTATGCCGACGACCAGGTGCTTGTTGCCTCGTCGGCCCAAGAATTACAACAAATGGTCACTGCTATATGCATAGTGATGCATTTGAAAGGAAAGGTATGAAAATAAATGTGAACAAGACGAAAGTGTTGGTGATAGAAAGAAATGAGGTGATAACAGAATGTCAGGTAATGATAGGTGATGAAAAATTGGAACAAGTGAATGAATTTGTGTATCTGGGATCACTATTTACGAGAGATGGAAAGTGTGACGGGGATATTGAAAGGAGAGTGAAAGCGGGAAATAGTGTTAATGGTGCTTTACACTCTGTAATGTCGAGTAAAATAATATCCAGCAAAGCTCGACTTGCTGTAATGCAGTGTGTATTGACACCAACGCTTATGTATGGTAGTGAATCATGGGTGTGGCAGAAGAAGCATGAAAGCAGGATTAATGCGGTGGAAATGAGAGCCCTGAGAAGTATGTGTGGACTAAAATTGAGTGATCGAGTGAAAAATAGTGTTATTAGAGAGAGGTGTGGATTGAAATACGATGTAGTGACAAGGATTGAAAAGGGAATGTTACGCTGGTTTGGATATGTAGTAAGGATGGATGAAAGTAGAGTAACGAAAGAAGTATACAGAGCGGATATGAATGGAGCCGTCGGTAGAGGGCGCCCTAGATGGTCATATAGTGACCAGATTGGCGATATATTAAAGAAGGGCCAAATTAAAAGTACCCTTAACCGACGAGCATGCATGAAAAGATTGATGACTGTTAATGAAGCGAAAGAGGTATGTAAGAATCGTAGTAATTGGCGTTCCTTAGTCTCTGCCTACCCCCATGGGAGACAGGCGTGAAGTTATGTATGTATGTATTATTAGTAAAATTGCATGAGATCTCACAATAGTAAATTTTTTTTTTATTTCAGTATATTAACAAATTCCATAATTAGGGAAATTACTTTCCATTCCCTGAGATAGAACAACATTTAGTACAACTTAAAATTGATAACCTTTCAGTATTCAGGCGTGGTTGGCTAAACCAAACATTTGAAGTGATTAGACAAGAACTATAATCACATTTCATTTTAAAATAATTTTCATTCATCATCATCATCAGCCTGTATTCGTCCACTGCTGGACATAGGCCTCTCCATTACCTGATTAAAATGATCAATTGGTTTAGAAGTTAACATGTTCATTTATATTACAAGATGAATTTTATTTAAGACCAGACTATAATTATTATAACATAACATCACACCTTTTATCCCCGAAGGGTAGGCAAAGGTGCACATTACAGTACTTAATGCCACAATGTAGCACCCACTGTTTATTTATTTATGTTATGAGTCCCAAGTAATAGGGGTGAGCTTATTGCCATATACTGGGCAAAATTCTAGACTCAGTGCTTCTACTAAGAATTTTTTTAAAAACCTACTACTACTTCGCCCGACCCGAGAATTGCACCTGAGACCCCTTGCCCACCAGATGCATTTACAACAACTCAGTCGAGGCAGTCTATCTTTCATATTGATTATTAGTCTATCTTTCATATCTAGTTGTTTCATTCACTGATTTAATTTTTAATTGTGGAACTCAAATAAAATCAAGTTGGCACAATGTAGCTTTAGTGCCATAATGGAGTATACATCCCAGCTGCCACTTTCAAATTCTATGGGTCATACTTGCCTGATAATAAAGGTTTACAGAATTACAAAAATAATTTTCTGGTCAAAATGTTCGAAAATGCAGTTTTTTGAGGGAAGAAAATCGTCAAATGACTTTTCCTATTTTGGGTGAGGCAAGGGAAGATTGTTCACAGGGATAATGTTCTGTATTTACACATTACATATTTGGCTCTGTTGTCAAATCTATCTAATAGGGGTGAGCTTATTACCATGCACCATGCATATAAAATTAATATAAACACCCCATACCTTGGTTTAGTTTACACAAAAATATGTACTGAATGAAAACATTGTCGAAATATCAGTTTTTATTATTATGTACAGTTGTCTATAAGTGATATGTAAAAAGCTTACATTGAGCGAGACTGCAGGCGGTGCGCTACCGTCTGTCAGTTCCTCTGGGACCTCCTCTTTGATGGAGACGCCGAGCAGGGGGCCCAGGTCCATCAAGGCTCGTTCGATCTCCTCCCCGCTCGGCTGAAAGTTTATGTTTTCCATTCGATTGGTTTAGCACTCGTCAGTCATTTCACAAGAACTTCAACATGTTCACAGGTGTACTTTGTTGCACTTTCACTCGTCTCAATGGGGAGACTGGCACGTAGACATAGCTAATTGACCAGTTCGATTTCGAGATGCCGCCGCATTAACATTCCATGAGCTAAAATAAATTGTATAGATAACGTGTGCAAGATGTTTAATTTTTTTATAGAAGGTTCGGTACGTGATTCTTTTTCTTTAATTATTTAGTTTATCAACATAAAAATATGTATCTTAATTTTTATCATGCATCCGCACGACAAAACGACAAGCGCGACAACCAACCACAGACATCAAACAAAACCACAAACAGACAAAATCAAAACCACAGACAGATTATAATCGAACATTACGAAAGAGTGAAAGACAAGGACAACAAAGTAAAAGAAGTAGAGTTTTATCCATAGACTTCAATAGACTTAGACTTATCCACTGATATGATTTTATGACACCGTCGCTAAACACAAGCTAAACAAATAAACATTGAACAATCGAAGATTTTATTTTGTTTTGAAAAAAAAATATTTATAAAATAATATCGAACACAATCGAATAATGTTCGGACAGTTGACGTGATTTTTACATGGCAAACTATAATTGTGCAACGTTGACAGTTGACATGTCATGACACATCTACGTCTACGTGACAGATAGTGACAACACGTCGAAAATGGCTGACTCTGGCCCGAGTAAAACCGATATTGAAGCAATTTTTCAAAGATTACGTTCGATTCCTTCGAATAAAGTACGTATATTTTATAGCTGTGGTACAATAGAATGGACGTTGAGTTACAATAATATGTGTTGTGGTGTGTAGGTATGTTTCGACTGCAACGCAAAGAATCCTACGTGGTCGTCGGTGACGTACGGGGTGTTCATCTGCCTCGACTGCTCGGCAGTGCACCGCAGCCTCGGCGTGCACCTCACATTCGTACGCTCTACACAGCTGGACACCAACTGGACATGGAAACAGCTCCGGAACATGCAGCTTGGCGGGAATGTGAATGCTGTATGTTGTTTTGTTTCCTAAATGTATTGGATTTGAACCCAACTACCTCTACTAACTAAATTTTAGTTGAGTGATTATATTGTTACAAGTATTATCTTATCAAGGATACTTACTAACATTATAATTGTATAAGTATAAAGAAAATATATAATTTATAACAACTATGACCTTATAATATGAGATTCATGGGTTAAATCATATGTTATGAGAAAACAAGAGTTTCAATCTTATTCAGAGCTTTGATGTTGTATTATATTGTTTCAGAAATAACTTTCAGACTAATTATTTATAAAATAGTGTTAGTAAAATATACAAGAACATATATAAGTAGTATCAGAACATAAAAATATAAATAATTAAACAAGTGGATGTTGTGCCCGGTATATGGCAATAGGCTCACCCCCTATTACATGGGACTCATAACATAAATAGTGAAAAGTGGGTGTTACATTGTACAGTGGTATAATGTGCACCTCTGCCTACCCCTTCGGGGATAAAAAGGCGTGATGTTATGTTATGTTATGGATGTTGACATATGCCAACTTGTGTAAAATATCAAAATCTAAGTGAAGATTTGTTTACCAGAGATAGAATTATAACATAAGCTCCATATCCATAGAAAGTAAGCCAATGTAATAAATATCTGCTGACACAGTTTGTCTGTACACAAATTGTAAACAGCAGCTATGCTGTTGACCTTGAGATTCATTTGAAATGGCACTTGATTTTCTTGGTTTTGGTAGCAAATTACATAATACAGCCAAGATTACAATATGCCTTGACTTATGTTTTAGACCCAGTTTTTCCGCACACATGGACTCTCCACAGAAGATGCTCGTCAGAAGTACAGTTCTCGTGTTGCACAGATGTACCGTGACAAGTTGAGCGCCATGTCTGAACAAGCTATGAAGACATATGGGACCAAGGTGAGTTGCAAGAAAACTTTTGCTTGCCTGGACCAATGCCACTCTACAACAGAATGATGAAACAGGCCTGTTTGTAAATATGTGTTAACTAAAACATTATGATTCTCAAATCAATTGTCATTGGTAAGCAACTTTCTTTATAAGATTCATATAGAATAAGAAAGTAATAAAGTCAATACAGAACAGAAGTAATAGCATAGTAAAAATACATTTAATTTAACAAAACTTTTGTGCTGATCTCTTCAATCTCACGTGCACTCATATGATGGAAGTGTAATAAATTATTTCTTTACATTGATACAAGTATTATTCTAATAGGTACAACCCATTGAGGAGGGCAATGGCCAACCATTGGTTCTTTGCAAGATAATATAATTTTGTTGACTTTAGCTCAGGCTTCAAGTACTTCAATTGATTACATAATTAATGCACAGAATTTGTCGTCTTTTTAATGTGTAATGAATTGAATGTATTTACAGTAAGGTTATGTTTCACATCAAGTTCTGGTTCAGTTATTTATTGTTTTACTTACAGGTTTGGGTAAGTAATCAAATATAACAATTATATATTACAAAGTATCAAAACATTTTAATTGTAATTGGGGAACTTGCTACTTGTAGCAATGATGACTTGTTATATTTGTATGTGTCGGAGGATGGTTTTGGTGATGTTGGGCGAGAGCCCTCTTCGTCACACACATCGATAGAGGTATGTGTATGCAGCAAAAAACAATGTAAGGATTGTTTATTTTCATAAATTGCTCTTTTACTTGTTCACATTTTAATTAAGCTAGGTGATGCCGACAGTTCCTTCGAACTACTCTCAGAAGAAATGCCGAAACAAACTCAAAGGTCTCAGTCACTGTCAAAGTACAAACATGGTTAACAAAGTACAATTAATGTTTAGTCCACTCTTATTGTTATAGTTATATTAATAATGTTCACTTTTATAATCTGAAACTCAACAACAATTATTTATTTTTTTTAATATTTTGCCCCACTCTATGGATTTTCTCCTGTGTCTGTCCGTCTACAAAAACATACAAGTTCACATACACATGACACTAGGACCCGGAACAACAAAGAGTTGTTCCGTGCGGGAATCGAACCCGCGATACGTTGCGCGACAGCCAGTTGCCCACCCATCGCGCCAACCGTGCAGTCGATAACAGTCGATTACAGTCGTCAGTCAATTAACTGTTGAAGCGCGTCATCTTTATTCCTTTTGTTGTTATTATTCCTTGGTTTTGTAGTAAATCGAAGTCCCGTACTAATGACCTGTCTGACTTATGAATGTTGTTTAATGATGACGGTAGCTGTATGCATGGAGCTCAGCATCCATGTGTGCGCCGAGTGCAGAACTGTATTTCTAGTCTATGCCAGTGCTATGAGTAATGTAATTGCTCATTTACGTGTTTCTTACACACACGGCCTATTATTAACAGCTTATGACGCTAACCTAACTATCACCAAGCAACGGAAGGATATTGTCTGTACTTCTAGCTCTGAATCAAAGCCCGTATTTACACGCGACCGTAACTTCTGTGGTACAGATTAAATTCTATACAGGCATACTGAACTAAATGGAATAGATAAATTTGTATTGTATATTTGTAGCTGCACCTGGACCCCGCGCCGGCCGAGCCCAAGGAGAGCAAGGAGCCCGAGGTAGACTGGTTTGCGGAGCACGGCGAGAGTGCCGCCCCCACTAACACTAGCGAGCTTGTCCCTGCACAGGTAACACTGACACTGCCTGCCATCATTACTCGAGCTCGGCTCTTAGCATTCGCGGTGATGACTCATGTGACACTCATAGGAATGCTGAGGCAAAGCAAACAGTGGCAGCTTGGCTAGCACACATGTCCAGTGCGCAGGTATGTTCATACTGGCTTGTGTCGTCTGCCTGGCTTGCTTTCATTGTTTTTCTTATTGTTTGACTTTAATATAAAAGAGTTTTATATAAACGCACGTCACTTATTCAACAGATCACTGGTCAGTCATGTAAACACATTAAGTTAGTTAACAGTTTCAATGTGCGTGTGTTTGTGTGTGTATGTATGTGTATTTTTGTGTGAGAGAATTGTTTGTACATAACTTTGTATAGAGTGAGTGTGACATTACAATACACACTACTTTATATTTTATCACTGAAACATGTGACATTGACTGAATGTTACGGCAGGTGGGGGGCGCAGTCGGAGGCGAGATAAGTTCCCAGGCGCGGCTGTGGGCCCCCGCGGGGCCGGCGCCCGCGCAGCCCGCCCGCAAGGGACCCGCCAAGCGGACCGGGGTCAGTACTCAACTATTCACGCGATCTTTCTTTTCTCGATTGAAAAATAATTTTCATGCTAATGAGAACAGAAGATTTCAGTTCTATAGTAATAATTGAGATTATGAAATTGAATGTATGAGTGGAGTACCGAAAATGGTTCGTTATAGTTGGGTGCGCGTAAAGGCGGGCTCGGCGCCACCAAGGTGGCCGCGAACTTCGAGGACATCGAGCGCGAGGCCATCATGGCGGAGAAGCTGAAGGCGGAGGCGGCGGCCAGCGGCGCCAGCGGGGGCGCCGGCGGCGGCGCCACGCTGGAGAGCGTGGAGCAGGAGGTGGCGTCGCTGCGGCTGGCGTACGGCGGGCCGGGCGCCGGGCTGGGCGCCGGCCCGGGCGCCGGCGCCGCGCGCCCGAACGCCGACCGACTCGGCATCGCCAGCGCCACGGCCGCCACGCGCGCGTGAGTACTGCCCCTACTTGGAGCTACACAGCGGCGTCAGTTTCCGTACTCTGGACACGACGCCATGCTTTAATTACGACTCCCTGGAGAAGTCACCTTGTTTGCTGGGCTGAGTGGGTAAAAATAACCCTGTGGAGCTTGTAGTAGCACAAAGTTAGTTTAGGTTTAGGAAGTAATGTGCGATGGTAATGTTGCAGCGGAGTGTCCCACTCGGCCACGTCGGACATGACGCTCATAGAGCAGGAGGACGCGCCCACTGCGCGTGCGCAGCTCGACGACATCGACGACTTCACTTCTTCCTTTACCATGATCAGGTATCGACTTACTAATTATTTTAATGTTAATTTTTTTTATTGGTGTTCAAGTATCCTAATATAAAGTCTTTTGACTATCATAAGTGGTGCGATGGATTGTTTACCCCTCGTACTACTGTGGACGGGGTACAGAACGCTCGGGGCTCCATGACCTGTAGCATTGTGGACATGTAATACGGATCAGGTACAGTTCATGGCTGTCGTTATCGTGTAAGTGGAGCCTAATGATGTCGTCAGAATAAGATGTTTCTTTTCAGAAACGAGCCATACGGCAACAGTCGCAACTTGGACAAACTGTTCGGTGACAGCGACCGCAAGTGTTCCTCGTACGACAACCTGGGCGGGGGCGGAGTCACGCGCATCTCTCCCGAGCCGGCCCGGCCCGTGCACACCATGTTCGGGGGCGCCGCCCCCAGCGCCGCGGGGCCCGACGGGGGCGCCGCCCCCGCCGCCTCCCGCAGCCGGCCTCGCCGCGCGGAGCCCGAGGACGACTCCGCTGTCAAGAAGTTCGGCTCCGCCAAGGCCATCAGCTCCGCACAGTTCTTTGGAGAGCAGGTCTGTTTATGCAATAATAATAATAATCATTTATTTCAGACCATGTCTTTACTCCTGTAAGTTAAATTTATAATATGTACTGTGTTATGTACATAAAATTAATATTTTGTTCAAATTTTAAAAAACTAGATTTAAATCACTAGTGAGCACATCATATCAAATCCAATATATAATGTTACTTTTTGTAACTGAGGAGTTCTGAGGATGGAGGTCATGAAGGCTCTTTTATTAGGACCAGAACATACAAGTGTCCCTGAAGTCGACGATGAAATGGCACCAGGTGATCGGAAAGGTTCTTACAGTTATCAGAAAATTATTCAAGAATTTTTTTAACATATAGTTTTTAAATTACAATGACTTATGTGTTATCCACGAAAAAGTACACCCTGTGCCAGTCTTCTGACTCTTGTTGCTACAATTATTTATTTTCTCGTCTATATCTTTGCTTACGTTATCCTGAATAGTGCTTGACTATTATGGAATCATAAATTCTGAACCAACTGCTTTAGCTTCGAAAAAAATATTTTTTTTGTTGAACCAAGTATTCTCAATAATATTTTAACCACAGTTTAAGTGCGTGTACTGAAAAAAAAATTGTACTGCGGTAGTAGTGGCAAATTTCACCAAAGTTGGCGCATTTAATAAAGATTCTAAAATGGTATGTTACTTCCTACGTTACTTCTTAAATTAGATACAAAAAAATTTTTTTCAACGAAAACCCCATGTCGAACAATTTATTTGGACTTACTTAAATTTATTTTAGTGTACCCAAAGCGCACCTAAAAACCTCGTATCCACTATCCACTAGGTAACACTTTGCAGGCGACATGCCATCATAGTGTTGCTAAACAGGTTGGAAACCACAGCGCCAACGAGGATCTCTTATTAAACCACATCATCGGTCTACTCAGGATTTCGTTCGCAGTATTCGTCGGCAATATTGTCGCTAAAGGAACAAGTTTGTGCATCACGTCTCTCTAAAGAATATTTCATGTTCAACTCCAGCTGTATGGAAACAACAGTCATGCCGTGCATTATATTCCGTTCGATAAAATTTTCGGTCGTAGTAACTCACCAGTCATGATTACGTAGCCAGATTATAGTACCCTCCCTCAACTCATTTTTTTTTTTTGATGGAATAACTTGGCCACCATGTTTCTGTCTGGTTGAAATTTTGTATGTTGACATTTTCTCTTTAAGTTTAAGTATGACATGATATTATTTTGACTAACTTACTACTCTGTCAAGAAAGTACCGGGAAAAGATCAATAATATACAAAATGTCTGTTATTCATTCAAATTTATTCTTTCACCTTCAAAGCATGATCCTTTAGAAACGATACACATGCGCCAATGAATAATCAATTCATCAAAACATGTTTTAAACTCTCGAATCCTCCTTTACGTCTTCTATCGATTGAAAACGGGTGCCACTACTACCGCAGTACAATTTTTTTTCAGTACAGACACTTAAACTGAGGTTAAAATTTTATTGAGAATAGGTACTTGGTTCATCTTGGTTCATTCTATTTGTGTAATAATATAATCATGTTGCTTAAATATTTGTATAGTTTAAAACGTTGCACAATTTATTGTAAATGTGAGAGCCCTGTAATTAATTAAATCAAATTAGACTAGTAGATTGCATTTATGTCAGCTTGGAGTTGTCATGCTCACTCAAAGATCTCGTTGGCGGTGGCACGTGCATTGGATCGCTCGATTCCCTACAAAATGGTTGAGTTGGGCGGTGCTAGGGTTCGCAAAATGTTCGTGAACGGGCACCGTCGATTGGAACTGGTCATCTCCAGACTGTATCTTTTTATTTTATTATCCTCAAGGTTATTTTCTTTTTCAGTCTTTCTGACTGGATTTGGGTGTTGCATTGTTCTCACATAATCGAACCAATAAAACTATGTAATACTGATTGAAAAAGAGTAACCTATGGAGTTTCTTGCTCGTTCTTCTCCATAGGAATCTACGCCTTGGAATGAGCAACTAGCTTCACTTATAATTTTTTGTTGTTTGACGTTCAAAAGTGCCATCCTGGTCTAATTGAAATAAATGATTTTGACTTTGACTTTGACTTCATCAAAAAATTATATTCTTTTCTAAAGTAGTTGGTTCAGAATTTATGGTTCCATAATACTCAAGCACTATTCAGGATAATGTAAGCAAAAAAAATAAAATAAAAAAAGACTGGCACAGGGTGTACTTTTTTGTGGATAACACATAAGTCATTGTAATTTAAAAACCATTTGGCTTGGATTTTTTTTAATAATTTTCTGATAACTGTAGAAACCTTGCCAATCACCTGGTGCCATTTCATCGTCGACTTCAGGGACACCCTGTATAAAAGATTAGAATAAAAAGTAAGGTCTTAGTAATCGATGATCAATAAATGAACCTGGACGTGTTGGTGCGCAGGAATCCCGCTGGGAGCGCGACTCCAACCTGTCGCGGTTCCAGGGCAGCAACAGCATCTCGTCCGCCGAGTACTTCGGGGGCGCGGGGGGCGCGGGCGCAGGCGCGGGGGCGCGGGGCGCGCGCGCCTTCAGCGTGGGCGCGCCGGACCTGGACGACGTACGCGAGTCGGTGCGCGCGGGCGTGACGCGCGTGGCGGGACGCCTGTCGTCGCTGGCCAACGGCGTCGTGTCCTCCATACAGGAGCGCTACGGCTACTGAGCGTCCGCCGCGGGGCCCCTGTCGTCGCTGGCCAACGGCGTCGTGTCCTCCATACAGGAGCGCTACGGCTACTGAGCGTCCGCCGCGGGGCCCCTGTCGTCGCTGGCCAACGGCGGCGTGTCCTCCATACAGGAGCGCTACGGCTACTGAGCGTCCGCCGCGGGGCCCCTGTCGTCGCTGGCCAACGGCGGCGTGTCCTCCATACAGGAGCGCTACGGCTACTGAGCGCCCGCCGCGGGGCCCCTGTCGTCGCTGGCCAACGGCGGCGTGTCCTCCATACAGGAGCGCTACGGCTACTGAGCGTCCGCCGCGGGGCGCCTGTCGTCGCTGGCCAACGGCGACGTGTCCTCCATACAGGAGCGCTACGGCTACTGAGCGTCCGCCGCGGGGCGCCTGTCGTCGCTGGCCAACGGCGACGTGTCCTCCATACAGGAGCGCTACGGCTACTGAGCGTCCGCCGCGGGGCCCCTGTCGTCGCTGGCCAACGGCGGCGTGTCCTCCATACAGGAGCGCTACGGCTACTGAGCGCCCGCCGCGGGGCCCCTGTCGTCGCTGGCCAACGGCGGCGTGTCCTCCATACAGGAGCGCTACGGCTACTGAGCGTCCGCCGCGGGGCGCCTGTCGTCGCTGGCCAACGGCGGCGTGTCCTCCATACAGGAGCGCTACGGCTACTGAGCGCTTCTACTTCACTGTTACTTCCCGACCGCGTCATAATGAAAAATTGCGATATCAAATATGTTTTCATTTCTTGACAATAAGTAGAGACGTTCTATAATATAACATTATCCTCTCCCCGACGTTATTAGCGCCAGTTTTATGTAATATACGCAAAAAGGCAATGTATTGTATGTCAACAGAAAACGAGACATTGTATCTGGGACAAGTTGTAGCAACTTTCTAATTTAGGTAATAAATAGATTTGTATAATTATGCGCATTTACTGTAAATCAAAAGCTAAATGCGCGCTTTAGTAAATAAGTGTGTGACAGTGAGAGTGGAGTGCACACGAGGGGGGGGGGGGGAGCGTGGTTCAGTGTAAATATTGTATGATATAGTATGTATGTATGTATGTATGTATGTACGTACAGCGAGCAGCCCGGCGCGCCGCGTCGCGCTGCCGAGCGATGCGTCAGCCTGCACCTTGTACCGCACCACCATTCGATACATAGCTATGCAGATCGAAAACTATCTTCGAGGAAACTGTGTGTCTATAACATCTTCATTGACAAATATACTTCTACATTTTCATCATGATTTTGTAAAACCTATCATTTTTCTACTACTATTCTCTTCATTACGCTTTGAAAGATTTTCTAAACAGACTTAAGTATTACAATAACTGTACTGAGGGCTATACATACATACAGGTCCCTGGAGAACCACTTGTTTAGACAATGACTAATGTTGCAGGAGATACTAAATATGTAACACTGTCACATTTCATTTGGTGTAAACGTAAAAGACTACTATTTAATAGGTTTTATAAATTGTATCGAGTGTAAGGGCACGCAACCCAAACTACATGAAGTGTCTACTGGAAAGAAAATAATGTAGATACATACAAAGTTAGACTGTAGATGCATATGTAATGTAACTGTAATAAATGTTCGATTGTAAATGATGAATCATAATCAACCAACATTTTTTTATATTCAAGTTCAAAAGAAAACAGTTCCCTACACTGTTTTGATACAAGCATGTCCCGCGTCACGCCTCGCTACTACAGCGCGCCTGTCTCCGACCGTTGCATTCCAAGTTAAGGTATATCTGTAATGTACATGTCTGCTGACCCTGCACTGTGCTGTGGTGTCCGTGAGCTACAACGGAGCATTTATCATTTATTTATTTGTATGTAAAATGAATGACAGTAAATATGTTTATTTTTATAATAATTTGCTAAGTAGTTGTTGGGGGAGGGAGCCGGTCCCGCGACGGCTCGCAGTCTGCTTCGGTTGACATGGAGGAGTCTGGCCTCGGCGACGCGCCCGGGCCTCGCCCGCATGTTCACTGAACATTTGTATAGTAATAACATTTTCAATTTAGATAATAATTATTGATATAAATATACATTATATTTGCTATTATTGCTGTCTTATTTTATTTACAAACCAACCATCTGCATTCCTATTGCTACGTTAGTGCTAGTTTTATTAATTTTTATAAAACCTTGATGTATGTTCCTTAGCTATGGAGTGGTCTATGGATGACATAGAAGTGAACAAGTAATAACTATCGTGAGCCATACCAAATTAACTAAAAATCGCGGGTTACTCCCGTGAATGTACTGAGAAAAGCTCTACTAGTTACTGGGTGCGACCGCGCTCCATGCTCAAGAGGAAGAACCCCTCTGTGGTTCGGAACTAGTAGAGCTTTTCTCAGTATGTTCACGTGTGTAAACCTGCGATTTTTAGTTTAAAAAAGTAAAGTATGTAATAGTCATAATAAGGTACGAAATAGAGCCGTATTAGTAAGTAATAAAAGAAACAGTATTCTTTAAATAAATATAATATACAATCATAAGGCACACTCAGCTAATTTTTTTCGCAACAATACACACATTCTCTGGAGACACAGTAACAGGCACGTAGAAGCACAGTCTAGCATCGAACCCCAACTCCCGCAGCCGTAGCACACGCAGCCAGTCCAGCAGTTGCTTGGCGCGCCGTCCCACCGCCTCGCGGGACTCCACTGGCACCGCCTCCTGCACTACTGCACGCTCCGCCTCCTGCACCACTGCACGCTCCGCCTCCTGCACCACTGCACGCTCTGCGTCCTGCACGAGGTCCGCGCCCCCGGTGGTGTCGGGCTTGTTGCGCGAGTCTCTGCTGCGGCCGTCGCCACACGTCGCCCACGACACGATGCCCAGCATCACGTTGAATTCCTCACCGGTTATACCCAGCTCCTGGAAATATTTGGAACAGACAATTTGCCATTACGTTGTATGAGATTGGACAAAGGACAGACGAACAGTACCTCGTCTTATTTTTTTATGGAATCTGTATGCCTATCAGTTACTGTCTTAAAGTAAAAAAAAAATGTGCAGCAGCCATCTCGGATTTATATTTTCACAGCACCATCAGTTCTGCTATCTCCGAAAACCATAAAAACGACACCCATGACGACTAGGGTGAGAACTTTGTATCTCATCTTATCTTGGAATAACGTTTCATTTCAATACTATCAAATATGATGATGGTCACCCAGACCAGACCATCCATTGTAAAATAATTACAACGAGGCTAAACGTATGCCATCATATTGTAGAACGTTTCGCATTGGCAATACGGCTAATCGCGCAGTCGCCGTATCCCAAAACGGGTCTGCTTTTCTAAATGGCTAGCCGTAATGTAATACGGCGGATTATACAATTCGCGACTTATATACAACCTATATAGGTTAGATATGTTGTAGTGTCGTAAATATCCAAAGAAGATGGAGAATGATTGTAAGGAGTCAGCATTGAGGTGATATGAGTTGTTACATCGTAAGCTAAGTGTAGAGTATACCTGCATGTGTCCGGGCGCGAAGAAGGCGGCCAGCTCGCAGCGGTGGTGGCAGCAGGTCGCCAGCAGGACGCCGCGCCGCCGCGGGCCCGCGCCCACCTCCAGCCCCGCGCCCGCCTCTAGGACCGCGCCCGCCTCCAGGCCCGCGCCCGCCTCGACGCTCACGCAGCGTAACGCGTAGTCTGCCACAAACAGCGATATATAGCCCGCACTGGTAGTCTCGGTAGACAAACAAGTCGAATACGTAATATAGCACATGTGTAGTAATGAGTGACGCGTACCGGTGGCGACGCCGCACAGATGCTTGGCCAGCCCCAGCAGCGCGGGCGCGGCCGCCACCTCGGGCAGGCGCGGCAGGTGCAGGTGGCGCAGGTCGGCCCGCAGGCGGCGCGCGGCGCGCAGCTTGTTGTCGCGCTTGTGGCGCAGCGCCGCGCGGTCCAGCAGCACCACCGCGCCGCCCTGCGCGCCCCACGCCTGCCACGCGTAGTACGACATGTGACCTGCACGTATATTTTTTTATGGGATATACGTAAACGAGCAGACGGATCACCTGATGGTAATCAATCGGCGTTGCCCATAGACACCTGGAAAACCAGAGGCGTTACAAGTGTGTTGCCGGCCTTTAGGGGATTAGGTATTTAGATGGAAAGTTGGGAAATGTTGGGGATTCAGGGATTGGGTAGATTGGGGATTAGGGAGATTAGGGGTTTAGGGATTGGGGATTCAGGGATTAAGGCGATTGGGGAAGGGGGAGGAAATGTAGGTACTACATGGAAAGTTTTTTCTTTTATATCTTTATTTTGTCATGTGATTTGTAGCTACATACGATGTTTGTTTTGATATCTGTATATGTTAATGTAACTGGTGTAAACCATTAACATAAAATAAAAATAAAATAAAATAAAAATAAAGGAAATGTTGGGGATTCAGGGATTGGGGAGATTGGGAATTAAGGGTTTGGGGAGATTGGGGATTAAGGAATTGGGGATTCAGGGATTAAGGAGATTGGGGAAGGGGGAGGAAATGTACTAGATAACCTTACTCACACGACAAAATACAACGCAAGCGTTGTTTTACGTCGGTGTTCTGTGAGGCTGTGGTACCATTATCATTCAACTAGGAGTTAGCTGACATTGTCACCTTTCCCGGCTCCCAGTTCGACGTAGCATGTACCCGCGCCGACGAGACCCTCCTCTTCCGCCAGATGCAGCAGTGCGGACACCTGCCGCAGATGTCTGCGTGAGCTCTCTGTGCGGTCACTCTCTGAGAACTCTTCAACTATAGTGTTGTGGATTGGATGTTCAGGGAATGTTGTGATGTTACCCTCCACATGCTCTACACAAGAATAATTTATTCTATACACCACAACTCGGCTTCCAAATTTCAAACATATGTCATAAGCAAATGTTAGTGAGTTGAATCAACTACACCATATTCAATTTTAGGTTTGTTAGTTCAAAATATAATTTTTAGTTAATTATTGAAGATTTGGATGTATATGACAATGTATTTTTTTTTGTCATGGTGTTATTAATAAAAACATAGCAATGAAGTATCAAATTTCAAATGAATTGAGTGCTTACTGTCATACAAATAGTTAATTTTGTCAATGACTTGCATGATTGTCTCCCGAGGTAGCTGTGCAAGTGGCATGCGGACACACATCTCTCCATCAGTGGGTGCATTGATGTTTGGCACAATATAAGGAGGCTGGTCCCTAGCGCGAGCATTGCAGATAGAAAGATGCTTCTCCAGTTTACTGACATACACTGTGCTGAAACACAGTGGTGTTCACATTTTGTTACTATTGTGTCACAATGCACCTCAGCTTCAACTTGCCCTGGTATTCATTGTCCAGATACTTACTGTTTGGGATCATTTGGGCACGGTATTCGCCTATCATCCTAAAATATACAGGAACTAATTAATAAACTAAGACTTAAAATTACCAAGACAAACAAGTAATTCTTAATCAAAAGTAAAGAGAGGCTCTGCAAAATACCTGACACTCAGACTCAGGTGGTTGAGGTTCGTGCTCCCCGCAATACTGCCGGCCTGGCCGCACAGTCATACGGCAGAGTCTCTTCTTCCTCACCACAAAATATTGACATTGGCCTTGCGTAATGTACTCCATACTTTAATTATATCTTAGTAAAAATGTTTAGTGGTCGAAGTAACTTTTTTGTGAAAGGATTATTGTAGTACTACACTACAATAATAACATGCCAAAAGACGTGGAATAAGCATTTTCATCCCTGGATAGCTTTATGTAGATTTCTTTATTAAATTCTTGAGTGGTAACTCGAGAAGACGAGCAAATGCAAATCAAAAAACCAAAAACATTAGAACACACTACACAGAATCCACGAGTAAGGCAAAAGTAAAAGCACTGATAGAGTGAAGCAATGTCAGATGGAGATGAGATGACTGACCTGACAGCTGAGTTGACTAAGACGTGTCAAAGAAATTGTGACTGTCATGGATACTTTTTTCTTTTAGGGGGCAAAATCATCGATGGCTACTCCCGCCTGGGTGAGGCGGGAGGGAGTGTCGGACTCTTACTAACTAAAATCCACCCCGTTCCTTCTCCTGCACGTCGAGCCGGAGCCCCGGTTACCCGTTAGGTTCTCCGCGACTGTCATGGATATTTGGAAACCTATTTTTACCTTTAGCTTGGATTACTTGGATGATCTTGGAATCTATCCTTTGATTTTAGTTTGACGAGACAGTGATAATAAAATTTTTATTTATAATAAATCATCATGCTACTAATATCTTAAACTAAAATATGAGATACATAGGTCTAATGAAAAAATGGTAGAATGTACAAGGACATCTTATTAGTGTTTTAAAATCACCTTATTGTAAATACCTGCATTCTGAGCAAATAAATAATTATTCTATTCTATTCTATAGGAGCCCATGTTATGATTATTGAAAAAAACAGTAATTACAAAATTACCAAAGACTATGTATACAACATATTGTGTGTTGCCGGCATTTAAAACTTTATTTTTCGCTATGGTCATTGTGATGATTTAGACGTCAACAAAATTTTAGGTTAGGCGTCGCATCATTGGGTTAGTTTTGGTTTCCTTTCACGTATTATGTAGTGCTGGTGGTGCAATATGAGTTCCCCTAGTAGAGACAATGAGGAACCGTCGTCTAGCACTACGGCAATGGAGACAGACCCTGTCGCAAGTGGAGATGCAGCGGTCGCCCGGCCGCCCGCCAAGCGCAGGATCTCCAGCACAGTTATTGAGATTTCGGACACGGAAAGTGATGATTCGGACGTTTGTGCCGTGAACTCTTACCAGGCTTCTGCTGATGAAGTCAAGAGGATCCGAGGAGGTAAGTGGTCGTACTTTTTATGAATATATTTTGCGCGGGAAAATTGAATCTTGACTAGAATATCTTACAAATATACCTAACAAGTGTATTGTATAGAGTTGGCTATTCCCCTTCCTGTCTTTTTGGTATTCAAATACTGTTGCCGTTTTGTACATTATAAAGCATAAGATCCAGTCATATATGTTGGTGTATGACACAAACAAGAGCCAAACAAGAACTAGGTACTTTGCTACATATTTCTGTCCTATGCACTGAGTAGACTTGTGGTTAATAATGAGATTGCGTTCTCATATGTAATAGATATTACAAAACATGTCCTGGGATAAAACATATATACCTAAATTATTATCTATCTCCATTTTCAGAAGACTATTCTTCATCCTCATCGTCATCAGAATATAGTTCTGACTCAGAAACCTCTTGGGAGGATGACTCAATAGTAGTAGATTACAAAAAGCATGCGAAACCAGTCAAAGCGCAGCTCAACCCTCGGGCCAACAGAATGGATAACCCACTGTTCAACCCCAAGATTAAGGTAATCTCGTATCATACCTGTTATAATATTCTAAGTATTAAACAACATTTAATAAACATACCATTAACAAAATATTTCTGTTTCCCTAGTCACAAGAACTACTAGATAGGCTACAAACGCATTGGAAAGAACTAAAAGATTTAGACACTCCTGAGGTGAAACTGACTTGTGAACCATTCAGATTGTGTCTGCTGCATGACTTCCTGGCCAATCCGGAGATGATTAACAACATTGTGGATGACATGAACACATTGGACTGGTCACGGAAAAAGATGGATCTGTATGAGTTCCATCAGACTGCCGACCTGGCCAGCCTCACTTGGCAGAGAAGTATTAGAGGCATTTATGAACTGCTGAAGACTGAGGTTATGAGCTGGGTAAGTATGAGACAAGTCAGTAAGTAAAAGTATAAAGCGAGTAGTACAGCAAGTGATGGTGGAGTGCGCTGCAGGTGGCGGCGGCGACGGGGCTGCGGCTGGAGTCTGTGTCGGCGTCCTGCTCGCTGTACGGGCCCGGGGACCATCTACTGGTGCACGACGATCTACTGGCCGACCGACGCGTCGCCTTCATTCTATACCTGGCGCCCTGGGCCCCGCCCCGCCCCGTTACAGTCGACCACCGGCCCTTAGAAAATGGCTCCGGAGACCACGCCGTGGTGAGCATGAACTTAATAGACACAACAAAATACCTGACAATGTTATTGTTAAATGGTTAATGGAGGATATTTCAACGGTTTTGTTTTTCAGTCAAAGAATTCAATTATACATTATGGTACACTACAGAGATAGATATACACTGTACATAATGACTACAATTATTAAAGAATGGGCTATAGAGGACTTATTTTCTTGGCAATGTATTGCACTGTATTATTAGCTGGTGCACGCCAGACGCGATGGATTCCGTCGCTCGCAGTGGTTGTATAGCGCGGCCTGTGCAGGGCGCGGAGTGGCGCGGCTGGGCGGCCGACATGGGCGGCGCGCTGCAGCTGCTGGCGCGGGACGGCGCGGGCCGGCCGCGCCAAGTGGTGCGCTCCGTCACGCCGCGCAACAACACGCTCGCCTTCTTCAAGGTGGGCGCCGACTCCTTCCACCAGGTGAGTGCCGTCTCCTTCCACCGTGAGTGCCGTCTCCTTCCACGGCGAGTGCCGTGGGCCGTCCGCGCTAGTGGCGGGTGAGCGCTGAGTGTCCGAGTATCCGCTGTGCAGGTGGAGGAGGTGCTGTCGCTTGAGCTGCCGCGGCTATCCATCAATGGCTGGTTCCACGGCCCCGCGCCCGAGCCCGAGCCTGACGCGGAGCCCCAGGACCGCGACGACACTGATACCACACTCGAGTTACAGCGACCACACAATGATATTGTACGTACAGTTTTCTCTTCTTTTACTACGCCTCTCTTATCTGTATTGAAAATGCATCATAATATTATACATTTTTTGTCAATAAGTCCTCAATTTGTAATACTCGCACATTATGATTTGGGCAATCCATAACATTTTTAAATCGATGTACGTGGCAGGTGGTGCTGAGTCAGTGGATGACGTCCCAGTACCTGTCCCCGCGCGTGCGCCTGCAGGTCCAGGCTCAGATGGAGCGACACAGCGAGGTCAGCCTGCACGACCTGCTGCAGCCTGACACTCTGGCCGACCTCATGCGGGCACTCGACGACCCCGGTGGGTACTATCGCCTGTCGAGAGACTGTTCACTACTTATTTTGAACTATGATTCGATAAATGATATGTTCATAAAATTAATCATATTCCAAAATGAATACTCAAAAAATCAATACAATCTGAGCTACTTATGATGTTGAGTAGGGAGTAGGCAGACGTGTGTAGTGTAAGAGTAACACTTGTGTGTTTTACAGAGCTACCGTGGGAGCTGGCGGGCCCCGCCGACCGGTGCCACTACATGCGCGTGCCGGGCTCCTGGGCCACCACCGGGGCGCCGGGCGCGGCCTCTTGGGTGCCTGGGGGGGCCTCCGGGGCGCCAGGTGCGGGCCCCGTGCGCGCCGCCCTGGGGCTGTTGGGCAGCGCGGCCTTCGTGCGCATGCTGGCGGACTGCACGGACCTGGCGCTGACCGGCTGGCGCGGGCTGGAGCTGCAGCGCTGGGCGCCCGGGGACTACGGCCTGCTGCCGCCGCGCGCCGAGTACCGCTCGCCCCGCCTGGAGGCGCGCCTCATGCTGCTGCCGGCGCGCGCGCCGGGCGGCGCGGGCGGCACGCGCGTGTACGTGGCGCCCGAGGACGAGGACGAGGCCGGCGACGGCGCGCTGGTGTCGGTGGAGCCGGCGCACAACGCGCTGTCGCTGGTGTACTGCGACGCGGGCGCGGCCGCCTTCACCAAGTACCTGACGCGGCTGGCGCCGGCGCCCGAGCCCTTCTATGTGTTCACGTGCACGTACGTGGAGTGACAGCGCGCCCCCGCCCGCGGCAGGCCGCGCCCCCGCCCGGCCGCGCGCCCCCAGCCGCGCCCCCGCCCCGCCTCGCACTGGGGCCACTACACGCACGCAGACAGACAGTGGCGCTGAACAAACATGCTCGGTGACTGTACCCTACGACTGTGTATAGTATTACTTACGACCCACTACTATATTTTATATCTACATATTGTCTATAGCCATATCTATTATATTAAAATAAAAAAATGAAGCAACTTTAGAGTATACAAAACAATGAACTAGTTTAAAATGGCTTCGTAGTGCGGGACTGCGTCTCGCCTGTAACTGGCTCGGCTGTCCTCGCTACCACGATGTCTCCGACTCCCTATATATATAGTCTGCCGAGGTAGGTTGTACAGGAACAAAGCAGCGAGTGACGTGAGTACAGACAGTGCCGGGACGGCGGGTGATACAGTAACACTGGTGTACTATTTATTAACATCGAGTTAATATCGAATGTAAATATTATTAAATACTTTTGTTATCAAATTGAATCGACTATTGTACGTCAGGGAGCAGAGAAAAATTGCGACATTATTTATTTTCGTACAAAATTTTATTGAAACTTTCAATGGCGATGCACAGGTGACGCTAGAAGAATAGATTTTGTGCTAGTACTTAGGACTAATGATTAAATATAATTATATTTTTATAAGTGGTTAGCGATGTGTGCGTGTATGAAATGTGTTCATGTTTACTTGATGTAACATTACAATTATTGTTTTTAGTAATTTTGCAGTGACAAGGTTGATGATATTGTGTTACTTACTTTTTGTACATAATAGGAGATTAAACAATAAGAATTGAAAACGATTTTTATTTATTCGCTTAGAGCCGGTCCGGCTGTCAGTCAATATAAAGCGCAGCTTGCAAACCTTGCATCTTAAAAAGATAAAAAGTGCCTATCTTTAGCATAAAAATTAATTAAACTTAGTCCTTCGATAGTTCAATGTTATCAGTTGCAACCCAGCCGAGCTGTCTGTAAAGATGTCACAGTGCGTACGGTAAATATTTACTTCAAACACTGAAAACTTACACATAATTGAAGAAATATTCTAAACTGAAACAATCATCTGTTTTTGTAATAACAATCGTGAGACATACTAAATTAACTTAAAATCGCGGGTTATTCACGTGAATATACTGAGAAAAGCTCTACTAGTTTCGAACCACAGAGGGGTTCTTCCTCATGAGCAGCGAGCGCGGTCGCGGCGACGTCGCGCAGCGTACTGCGATATTCAGACTGTCCAAAGTACAGAAATCCTTTATGGGGTTAGGTATTAAATGCTATAATAAAATACCAAATAGCATACTAGATCTCAATGAAAGTAAATTTAAAATATATATTTAGCGTGAATTATGTAATCAAGCTTACTACACACTGACAGATTATCTTAAAGATAAGAATGCTTGGCAGCATGTTGGTTCGGCTCTACTGGACAATACTGAAATGTAGTCAGTAGTTAAATTCCAATAGTAGGTAATTTAATACATAATTTAACACTTTAATTCTAATGTAGACAATCTAGTTTCCTTATGGCATCGAGCATTTCTTTATTGAAACAAAGAGTTTCCTTTTTCTTGTATAGAAGCATTAATTCTAAGGATTGTCAGTATGCATATGTGAGCACCATGTTAGACTTTAAGATTTTTATATTTTTTTTAATTTTAGTAAGTAAGTTATTAGTATAATTCGTCAAGCATGTCTTTGCATTGTTCTTACATATGCGTACAGTATTGAAATATGTATCAGAGACATTGTAGAACATACTTACTTTTTTAAAAAAAGAGTAACGAATGGAGTTTCTTGCTCGTTCTTCTCCAGTCGAATCTACATTTTGAAATGAGCACCTAGCTTCACCTAGTTTCACTGACGGACTGACTGACAGACTATTATTTATTTCGTGTTTGTTGACGTTTCAAAAGTACCAAACTATGGTTTAATTGAAATAAATGCTTTGACTTTGACAATAAGGTATTTACTTGATGTGAAAGTATTAAGCTATTAACGTAGCACGTCGGAACCAGACACATTGTACTTAGGGGGCCGCAGTCTAGAAGATGGTGCTGCTGCATATCTCTCGGTGGTCTCTCACACTTCCATGACTGGGTACAAGTACGTAGTGATTATAAAGAGGTTCCTAAGTTACAAGGCACTAGGTAGATATTTTTAAGTTCTTAGATATAAGCTACTTAGGTTGGGTTTATATATATTCCTAAGATAATGAAAGTATAAGATCGTGATTCAGAAGGACTTACTTAGTCCGGTTATAGGAATTGCGTCACGTCTGTGGTCTCTGAGGTGGCAATCAGCGCCAGCGTGCAGCGGCGACGGCACGCAACGTGACCGCGACGACGCGACGGCTACCAAGTAAGTACATATTGATGCTTACACTGACGCTGTATTATGACCTCTCCACAAGTTACTAGAACAAATAATCTCCTAGTACATAGCCGAGCCGGGTCATTTCTCTAGCTAGAAGATATAGGTAACGCAAGGTAAATCTAATCTACTTCAAACTTTACACACTGAAAAGACAAGATCTGACGTGAAATGTTTGTAAGTCTGTGCGCCTCTGACAATTTCTCATACAACAGTTTCACCTTGATCTGCAGTCTATCTACCAACCAAAATAAACTGACGTAACCTAACTTGTGACTTCGCTAAATAATAAAATAAAATTAAAATAGACTGCCTCGTTGGCCGAGTGGTCGTAAGTGCGACTGCCGGGCAAGGAGTCTCTGAGTTCGATCCCCGGGTCGGGCAAAGTATTACTGGGTTTTTAAAATTCTCCCAGTAGTAGCACGGAGTCTGGAATTGTGCCCGGTATATGGCAATAGGCTCACCCCCTATTACATGGGACTCATAACATAAATAGTGAAAAGTGGGTGTTACACTGTACAGTGATATAATGTGCACCTCTACCTACCCCTTTGGGGATAAAAGGCGTGATGTTATGTGTAAATTAAAACCACAGAAAAGAAAAATCTGTTAACAGCAGTGAGCACTGAGAGGAACAGCACGAACAGCTTAAAACTATAATGAGTGCGTCCTTCTTTATGGTAGTATTCGGGGCCAATGGTGGGCCACGAAAGCAGACTAGCACAAACTGTTTAGTAGGTATGTGAAGTATCGCAGTACCTATGTAAAGGTTTTCAGTAAAACTCCTTTTTGTAAAGTGGTCCTTACTGGTAGTAGGTAGGGCAAGGACTAGTGGGTTACTGGAAAGTGCACTATAATAATCTGTTTACCTACGGCATAGGGAACTTCATGGTTCGTTTTGTATGTGTACGGAACGAGGTGTGACTTTGTAGTCCTGTCCACAACTAGTATAAACCGCAGTTACATTTTTAGCACGATGCGATAGCACCTACATAGGTGCTCAGTCACAATGATGTTGAAATAGGAAGTATTCAGTTCCAGTTATTATGATTTATTAGGAAGTTACGGCGCGACATCATGATTCGCTCGATTCGTGGCTTGATGGCTGTGTATGTTGTACCTTGTTGAGACTCGCCAAGCCGGACATATGTATATTATATTTTTATGTGCCTACATTATTAGCAGACTGTGACTCTGTGAGCCCCTAGAACATCACACGCGCGGCGCGCACACGAACACTTGTGTAATGTTACACGTTCGGCTTTCTTCATGGTGCCGACGTTGTTTGTATTGTCACGCTACCGGTAAGGTTTCATAACCAACATAACATTTATTTCGAACAAATACAAAAAAATAATTAAATTTTCTAGTTCTAGTAATCCTTGAATTGGTAGACTGGCCAGTTTTGTCGAGCGGTTACAGTTTCTCGTTAGGCTAAACAGTGGCCGGCAGATGTCACTAGGTAGCGGCGAGCGCCTACTATAACGTATAATTTTACTGTTGGTGAATAGCAAAGGGTTCGGGGATTTTGTTATTTACATTCATTGTAAGTACATTTTGCGAGAGGATTGTTACGAGGCACCCGCGCGGGCTTGAGCCGAGCCGCGGCATAGTACTAATAAATAGCTAATAATGTCGGGACTGAGCCCACCGTATTGACACAGGACTTTTAAAGGGAAGGCTGTCGTATTATCTACTTTCTTGCCTGGTTGTAGAGAGTCGCTTTTGTATTTACTAAATTAACGACGACGTTCTATAATAACTTATTAACAGTGTTTGTGTTGCATCGCATGAGTATTAAATAAAATATCAGTGACGATGTTTCAATCGCAACTCGATGAACATTCTGAAGTGGAAGTATTTTGTGCAAAGGTGAGTTCCGGCCGGCGCGCGGAGCGGGAGCAGTGAACCACGCGCGGTGGCCGGATATTGAAAAATCAGCTCAACGCCGACGGCGACATGGCGAGGCTCTGTACGGCGAGCTTCGGCGAGGTGATAATATTATATTATATTTATAGAATTCTCAGCTCCGTTTAATATTCCTAGTATGTTGCTGCATCTTTGATAGAGGATCTGAAAATTATCACAAAAACATTATTTTGACTGTACCGTAAAGTTTCATCGTGAGTATATTAAATGTTCGAACAAAATCGATGTGATTCTTTTGCCATTTTATCGTTAAGCTTGACATTTCGAAGAGCTTGTCCCAATCTTAGACAAAAACACGACCAGTGTTTTGGGGTCAACAAAAAATGCTAGTGTAATAAAATTAATACCTTCAGCCGATGGCGATAACGGAGCAATATGTCAGTTCGTATCTGACAGTGAGGTCCTTAATCCTTCGTTATCAGTGAAATTGTTATCTCGTTACCAATGCCCTCTACCGTTGCCGAAACTAAATAGTAACTCTGTAGTTCTGCTAAGAAAGACATTTACGGCTATAGACATTTTCATTTTGCATTTTATCAACTGCTTTAGGTTCAATTCTGAATTCGACCTATCTACGTCATAATTAAATACGTTTCTATGTATTTTCGCTTGAATAACAGTATTTTACATAAAGAACCTACGAGATTATTAATATCTAAAT